GAGAAACCAAAAGACATATCTCGGACCGCATCCGCGAACATAAAGCAGACTTGAAACACGGTAAGACGAACTCCTCTGCCGTGGCAGATCACTGTTACAATTCAGTGGGCTCACATGACATTGACTTCTCCAAGACGGAGGTTCTTTGCAAACCAACCGGCTACCATGAGAGATTCGTTCATGAGGCCATTCACATATACAAGCACAGAGACAATTTCAACCGAGAAGATGGATTCAGGCTTAGTAACCACTGGAAAGATGTGTTAAATCATTTCTGGTCTTAATTAATTGTAATTTTACGATGACCTTCAGACCGCAGCTCTTTCGCCAGCATTGCCTCTTAATACCTCTCACACCACGGTTAATGGTATGGTTTACAACATGGAGTATACTAGGGCCTCGCAGCTGTCTCTCTCCCCCTCCTCTGTTCCGACCATGGACGAACTCGTCCGTCTGAACGGGGCCCGTAGCTATCCGTGGTACGGAAATTTGAGGGTAAGAATCCACCCATTTTTTCGCCATATAGCATTGTGATATATAACGACTTATGGTTGGTAGCTTAGCTGATTGGAGAATATAGAGTTTATTGATAACATGAAGGTAATTTATATTTTAGTTTTTATTGGTTCACTATATAGTACTGTGAATAGCTCAGATGTGTAGTCATTTCTGTGACCAGTCACTAGCAAATCACCCAGTTATTTCAATGCTAAATTCGCCTAGTTATTTCAATGCTAAATTCTCCTGTTTGATTTGTACTAAGTGCCTCGGTGAATGTGTATGCTCTGACTTCAACGTAGCTATTTCTGTAGCAGTTACAAGCGAATCACTCAGCCATTTCAATGCTAAATTCTATGCTAATCCCATTGTCAAGGGGTGCCTCTGCGGATGTGTATGCCTTAACTTAGCTATTTCAATGCTAAATTCTATGCTAATTCCTTTTAACAATGGGTGCCTCTGCGGATGTGTATGCTTTAACTTTTAACATAGCTATTTCTGTGACCAGTCACAAGCTAATCATTCAGCCATTTCAATGCTAAATTTTATGCTAATTCCTTTGTCAAGGCTCTTTGTTCCTCTCACACAGCTTAAAAGCCGTGATCTGAACGTGGCTCTCTCACTCCAGCGCTGTCCTACCAGACAGTCTCGCCCCCTTCACCTGATGAAGGCCGCTTGTGTTGTGGCCGAAACGTCGTGAGAATATTATTGTGTTATTTTATTTTATCAATTTATTATTTTATTCTCATTCTACGTGACTTTACCGAAAGAACCAAAGAAGATTTCCTATATTACCCCCCCAATAGTTTTTTTTGTATTGTAACTTTCTGCCCCACCCCTCATAGACATCTGTGAAAAGAGCTTCATAGCTCATCGGATTTCTCCAGGATAAATAAACATTGGATTCTTTCAAGAGGCTCCAGCGAGTTTTTTTGCAGAAGGGGGCGATGATTGATGACCATTAATGAGATGTAATTTTGTTTATTCATTTTAAGGTAGTATGTTGTTTGTCTCTTAATTGTGATTCTTAAATGTTTTAATTTAAGGTTAGTAACACGAAGTCTGTGCTCTCCAGTTGCCTGGGTGAAAAGTGGGATAGGTTTTTTTTGCCAAATCCTGACCAGCTGGCTTAAAACATTTTTAACAAATAAATTAATGATTGCGATGTACAGCCCAAACTGAGTGTCTTTGCGGTGTACTTATTCAAGTTTTGACCACGACGGTAGCACACACAATGGCTTAACTCCGACCGGTATTTTTGATTTAAAGCTTTCGTGACTACAGTAATTCATATTCTTAGCTCTTTCGGTAAAGTCACGTTGAAGGGAAGCAATAAAATAATAAAATATATTTTATTACTTTATTGTTTCCCTTCAACGTGACTTATTATTATTTTATTATTTTATTGTTTCCCTTCAACGTGACTTTACCGAAAGAGCTAAGAATATGAATCCGACCGGTATTTTAACGTACACTGAAGCGGACCGTAATAACCAGGGCAGCCGCTGGAATTCGAACTGTGAACCCTTTGCAACAACAAGCGACGAACGCTTGTTGTTGCAGAGGATTCACAGTTCTGCCCGACTAATTGGATAGCACGAAAATAATTTAAAGGGCCATATGCGTGCACGTGTGACTGCTGGACTGTAGGCGACGGCGTCATTGTCATCATCTGCGTGGTGGCGAGCGTCAAGTGACCTCCGCCACTCGCCCAAGCGCCGTTCGTGTTCCTTCGGGAGGCAGAACGTCACAGGGCGGCCGCCACTTGTACACAAGTAGCCCCGATCCATCCATTTGCTTCAACAATGAAAAAAAAAACCCCATTGTGAATTTATTTGCAGTTAGCGTCCAAGTAACTTTGACAGTGTAAGCCCGGTGATGTCCATTAACAATGTTTCGTTCATATTTCAACCATGCGTACACTCTGTGGTCTTTCACATTTTATCACATTGTATTGTTTTTTACACAGGTCTGTCCTTGATGACGATCACCTCGTTCAAAGTAAAGGCATACCATTGCGATGCAATATTGCTATACACTTAATGTCGTGAAAACCTGAACGCACTTGAAGATACGCAATAGATGAGTAAAGCTGTAGCTCAAACGTTGTTAGATCAGGGTGGCGAGATGTTAGCTACCTTGCCTTGTATACGGGTCATGGGTTCGATCCCAACCCTGACGCGTATATTTTTGTTTTGGAGTTTGCATGTTCTGTCCTCGTGGATTTTTCTCTGGGTCCTCCGGTTTTTTTCTTAACACATTTATAATCAACGTGCGTTTGGAGAATTTGGCTGCTACAAATTTCCACATGAGCCACTTCGTTGAGCTATCAACTGTGGCCATGTTGCTTCTAAAAATGAGCTACATCGCTCAGTGGGCCTTATCTAGTAGATCACGTCACTGCTGTCACAAATAGCTCTCGAGGGAAGTAGAGAGAGCACCGCTGGAGCGTATTTGGCCTGCACTTCCACTCGATCGAAACGCCTTGGAAGCGGCGGAGGGGGTACATTCACAACCCCACCACACACGACCTGCCTGCTCATCGACTTCATGCCCGTGTATAGTGGGTGCACAGAAGAGCGGTGGATTGAATAGCCCTGCATCATTGTTTCAATGGTCACACCGGGAGATTGATTTGAATTCTTGACCTCTGGATTTAACTTCGGATGTACTTCCCATTTACAGCACGGCAGCATCCTATTTATATCTCGGGTTAATCCCATATTCTGATAACTACCTACTTTCCCCTCTTATATTGTAATCCGTTGGACCAGATTTGAATAATTTTATTGACACCAGGCACAAATTTGGGACCCTTTATAGAGCATCTTATAATCCAAAGAATACAGTAATAATGCCCGTTAACCAAGTCCTGCATTGCCATTTCTGTGTAAGCTGTACAAAACCATGTTCCGTCACACGCAACACTGTTTTAAGAACGCAATGCAAAATACCCAGTGTTAGTCAAAGTTTATTGTTGTGGTTTACAAATGCAATCATCAGTTTGCACGCAAGCGTTAAACTTAAATTACGTACAGTGGACGACAGTACCCCAACAAGTGAACGCTTGAAGGCCACAGGTACATCGGCGTTGCTCTGGGCTTACAATGTGAGATCACGCTGTGGCAAGATGTTAACTACCTCGCCTGGTATGCAAGAAGTCGTGGGTTTGATCCCAACCCTGACCCCTGTATATTTGGAATTTGCATGTTCTCCCCGTGGTCGTGTGGATTTTTCTCCGGTTCCTCCGTTTTTTCCCTCCACATTTTCAAAACATGCATTTAAGAGTATTTGGATGCTATACATTTCCACATGCTGATGAGCCACTTCTTTGAGCTATCATTTGTGATAGCCAGGTTGCCAGGAAAAAGCTATGTAGCTCAGTGGGCCTTACCTAGTGAAATATAGTATTTTTTATCGTATAGATTTCCCACGTGCCCAAAGAACAATCGGCAATTTTTCTTAAGTGGCGCGTGAATTTACTCATGTGGAATTCGCAGAGACGAAGTCACCTTTTATTTCCCCATGCACACTTTGGCGCTTGTCCAATGGAGCCCGATGGGATATCATTACATCTGTGGCATTATGAACCCATATAACCTGCAAACCCATTTTTTTATCGTGTCTGGGTGTTGCCTTAACTCAGCCTCGTGTTGCAATGAGGCAAATAACACGTACACTCATGTGTTCTTATTTACCCAAGAAAGCCTACACTGATTCTAAATACTTTTTCAGAAGTGGGAAAAAAATGGGTTGTTTCGCCAACAGCATTCATGAGATTTTGATTTAAAGCTTTCATGACTGCAGGGATTCATATTCTTGGTTCTTTCGGTAAAGTCACGTAGAAGGGAAACAATAAAATAATACAAAACTACATAAAATCCGTGATCTGGTTCCGTCTGTAAAAGATGTGATTCCGGACATACAGTACCCTGGCGTCTACAGACTAAGGTGCCTCTGTGGTAGTAGTTACATTGGAGAAACCAAACGACATGTCTCGGACCGCATTCGTGAACACAAAGCAGACCTAAAACACGGTAGGACCAACACCTCGGCCGTGGCAGATCACTGTTATAGTTCAGTAGGCTCACATGACATTGACTTCTCCAAGACAGAGGTTCTTTGCAAGCCATCTGGCTACCATGATAGATTCATTCATGAGGCTATCCACATATACAGAGACAATTTCAACCGAGAAGATGGATTCTGGCTTAGCAATCATTGGAAGGATTTGATAAACCATTTCGGGTCTTAATTGATTGTTCACGCTTATGGTGGCTTTCAGACCGCATCCATTATTTTCGTCTCCCCCCTTCTCTTTTCCGAATATAGATGGACTCGTCCATCTGAATAACTGCCAAATCGCTCTCCGTGGTGCTAACGTAAAAAAAACGCCACTTTTTTCAAAATTTCTTGCTGTGGTTTTCACACCTGATGATGATTGTTTGTGTTGCAGTCGAAACGTCGTGAGAATTTTATTGTTTTATATTTTTATTATTTTATTGGTGCCCTTCTACGTGACTTTCCCGAAAGAACCAAGAATAGCATTCATGAGTTTTGCATGGGAAAGGATATTAGAGAATCCAGGGAAAAGCCCATGCACACAAAAAGGAGCCACTTGGCACTGCCATCTCCTGGGAACACCTGGCATGCCACGGTGGTCACCCACCCCATCCAAGCAATAATTTATCCGTGCTTAGATTCCAAGATCTCACAAGATGGGACGTATGCATTTCGGGTGATCGTAATTAATTGAGTTTCTGGATCCGGGGGTTAGATTTGGGTGTCTGAGACAACCAAACCTACGGGTGTGGCTTGGCCTGGGCCAGGGGCTTGGGCTGCATCCGAGGCTGGGTCTGGCCGACCTAGGGTCCCGCCGGCATCACACGCGCGAATGGCACACCGCTTCCCTGCGCTGCGTGCACCTCGGCCGCACCTTCCCGTGCCGCCGGCTTCACCTCCTCCGGGCGCAAACCCGCGCTGTCCCCCTCTACATCCGCCTTCGCTTTGTCCTCCTTGCCCATCGACCGCCCACCCGCGCCGGCCGTCGCCAACGTGTCGGCTCCCTCTGCCCTTTCCAGCACCGCCGACGGCTTAGCTTCGGAGGCGGGAGCAGAGGCGACTGTGACCGCGCTGTTGGCTCGCGAGTGCTCAGGCTCCGGCTGGCTCTGTGCGCCCGCGGCGCTCTCGGGGCGTGGCTCGAGGTGCACGGCCGGCCTGAGCGGCGGTTCCGCGCGTCCTCCAGGGATTGGCGCGTGACCGGGCTGCATTTGAGCCAGCTGCGCCAGCTTCACGTGCTGCATGGGCTGCATGGGCTGCAAGTGCTGGAGGTGGGGGTGCGGGTGGGCGTGCTGCTGGGCGTGCTGCTGGGCGTGCTGCGGGGCATGTTGCGCGGGGTGCATGTTCACGTTGACTCGCGGGTGTAGGTCTGGCCGGTGCGGGGTGGCCCAGCACGGCAGGGAGCCGTCGTCACGGATGCCGTGAGTGTCCATCGCGCGGCGCGCCTCCCTCTGCAAAGCCAGCACATGCAGTAAACACTCGCGTGTCGTACGGCCTGCAGGAGCACGGCTTTACACTTCTAATCGTGGCTTTCGCACATGCATCTTTAAACGATTCCTTCCATCTTTATCCCAAAATTTACCCAAAATGTGCTGTCGTTGTCATGTTGTCATGCGACGAGGCATCTATCGGAAACCCGAGCGGAGAAGTACAACCCTCTGTGAAGGAGAACGGCCCGTGGATGTGGATATCACAGAGCTAATGTAATATAATGTAATAAATGTTTAATCATGCTCAAAGCATATCTAACGCGCAGCGCCTTCGCCATCGGTCATCCTTAAAGTGATTCCCGAGCTTCCTCTACGATCAAGCGGGTAATACGTACGCAGTGAAACCTTTCATGTTCGGACAGGTTGGTATTTCAAGACAATATTCAGCCACGTTAACTGAGGCACCCACGAAGTGAATGGCTCACCTGGGCTGGTAGGATGTGCTCGGATTCCTGCTCGATCTTGATTGTGGGCCCCATCTCTAGGACGGCTATCGTCGACTTGGAAATGTGGTTTTGCTGCGAGCAAAAAAAAAAGTGATGAGAAGTTGTGCTGTTAGTGCAGTATTTAACTGCCGCGGACTGGAATTGAGATGTGAAGTGAAACGTGAACAGGTTTAAATAGAGGAAAGTGTGCAAGTAAAAGTGAATAAACCAAAAAATTGTTGGCGATGCTGCGCTGGCAGTGGTGCACAAGCACAATTAACAAAAAAAACCCCTCAAAACATTTGTCAATTACACTGCCTTAAAAATATATATGGCTACGTACGGCGCAAAAAAAGTTCTAAATACATACAAGTAGAAGGGCCAAAAACAAAAATATGTGCTCAGAAGCAGGGATGGAGCCAGGATTTTGACTTTGGGGGGGGCTGACTTCAATGTTCTGAGATATCCAGTGTATGTTTCCAATGGGCGCCACAAATGTATAAAACAAATTTTATTGGATTTGAACGCGGAGTTTATTAATAGGTCGGAGCCGCTGATGTGGCTAATAAGTTTGATAAGTTCTAAAGGCTGCCGCTCAAATAGCCTGCAGGGCAGCACAAGGTGGCAGCCAGCATTTTGCAGCAGCCGGATATCCGGTTATCCCGATCACCAACTTTCCCAAAATTTCAGGGGGGGCTGAGCCCCCCCCAGCCCCCCCTGTGGCTCTGCCCCTGCTCAGAAGAAGGGCCATTGCCCGACCTGTCAACTATTGTCTATATTTAATTTTAAGGCCACAGTGTTATGAACGAATGTTTAGAGTTTTTATTTTTATAACTTAAGCCTTTTTTGCGGTTGATCAGCGAAGAATCGTTGACCATTGGGCGAGTGAGGATTAAACCGGCATGCACCGCTGTCTCGTGCAAATACACCTTTGTGTCTTTGTCGCAAGCATGTTTAATCCATAACCCGGATAATACGCCCGCATATATGTTGAACTTCTTTCGCATCGTACATAGCCAACCGTGCTAATCGGAGGTGCGGGGGAAGGACAACAAACTAAGCACAAAAAACTGTTAGAATGAACCATAATAGAGGTTTTTTTGGGTTAGATCGCGTAAATATATAAATGCGTCGTTAAAACCCGCCACCACCCGACACAGCCAACTAGTAAGGGTTGTCACGTAAACAGAACGTGCCAATTCGTCACTAGTACAGCACACCGGTGTGTTGGAGAGCCAAGCCACATAATTTACAATCTGAGTACGACGTTTCGCCAGTAATTACAACCAGCTTCATCAGGTGACAGCCAGGTTTGTGGAGAAGTCTCTTTCGTTCCTTCGCGCGCTTTCAGATGCGTTTCTGTGGTTGAATTAAGATATGAGGACAGTCTCCATGGGAGTTCCAAAGAAATTCGTTTTTCAAATGACTATAATCGAGGGCCGCAACCACGTTGGACCTCTGCGTGCTGCGGCGGGGGAGTGGTAGCGGGTGGTAAGGGGGTGGGTGGGTAGGGGGTTGGTAGAGGGGACCGCACCTGCTGCAGGGTGAGCGAGCGCACGTGCATGAGCAGCGGCTCTCGTATCTCGGGACACTTGTCGAAGACGACGGCGAGCTGCGTGGGCGGCAGCTGCAGCAGCACGCCAAACGACTGCGGCTTGGTTCGCTGGCAGCACTTAATGAAGCCCTCCCACACCTTGGGGTACTTCCACACCTGGCGGACGGTTGTATGCGAGAGGGAGCGGGCGGGCGGGGGGGGGGGGGGTTAACCCGGTTAAGTCAACAATAGCCACTGGACGTCTGTGAAAGAGAGCTTAAATGGCTCATCGGATTCCTCCAGTGCAAATAAAGATTCGGTTTCTGAGCTACGCAAAGTTACTTGATAGCTGGTGAGCACAATGGCCTATGGCTTGATTCTACATTTGGCAATGGAGTGATTGCCCTACGCCTCTGCCAACTTGGACTGAGAAGAGTGTTTGGCGAGTTCCTCCCCTTGGTAAATTTAGCCTGAAATGAATGATTACTGGTTCTCGCCAATAAGTGCAAAAAGTTACCGAAATGATCAAATCAAAAGACTCACCGAGTCGCGTAACATTTCTTTTTTTTTTAGAGGTTACTGCATTGGGATGTTAGGCCAAATGATTTAATGAGTGACATGTCAACTAAAAACAGGAGTGCCTGGAATAAAACCACGTACATGAGGGGGTGACATTTACCGCTGCCATCTCCTGGCCACTTCCCTCCCTGCTCCGCATGTACAATACACTTGGCAAGCCCTGCTGGTCACTCATCCAAGTACCGATAAAGTTTATTTTTTTTATCATGTAGCCGTGTTAATATTTAGTCGGACGGACTTGCATACAAACGGACGACTCCACACACTAGTTACCCAGTGCCAACCCCCCTGCAAGCTACTCTCTCCACAGCGAGGTCACTGGCGCACCTGCTTGATGATGAGCCTCTGCAGGATGTTCATGACGAAGGCGCCCATGCGTGGGTACATGGACAGCGACTGGATGACGGTGCGCATGAGCAACACTGGCAGAGGGTTCTGCTCCATCAGCTGCTGCATGACCACTGCCAGCACCTCCGAGCTGTAGACCCAGCGCTCCGCAAAGCACAGGCTGGTGGCTGCGCACAGCGAATGAACAAACAAGTAAGACAAATATATATAAATTATAAAAAGTATTAAAAGTTGGGTGAAGTGTTGGCAAAGTGGTTAGCGCACCGCGCTATTAGCGCGGCAATCCTGTGTTTGTTTCCCGGCCATGGCTGATACTCAACAGGCTCGAGCCTCCCTAGCTTCTGCAATCTGACGGGATAGGGGGCATTCCAAGTGATTTGGTCAAAGGTGAGTGCATCTCATATAGCATTTCACTTATGACAAAGACTTATTTCCGTTGCAAATCACAAGACTTTTATAGTGTTGGTGAATGAGGCGCAAACAATACAGCTGGTAGAGCGGTCCAGCGGTGGCACAGACAACCTGCATTCGATTCCCCGCAACATCAGAGGTGATACCTGAACCAGCTCAGGTCTCCTCCCTCTTCACCAACCCGCACTAGACCAGCCTGGTGAAGTATCGTCAAATAAGCCCCATGCCCGATAAGGCATCATAAAAGGTGGACTGACGAAGGGCTGTACTTTATTATTTAATAAACGTTACGAAGGAAAACCACGTTAGCTAATTTACATTGGTACAGTTTCAATACAAAAACTGATTTCTGCAACAAGCAAGGTGGAGGCATCCACCAAGCCTCCACCTTTTTCTGGGGCGTCCAGTTTGCTGTCCTTCCCCCGCACCTCCGATTAGCACGGGTTGGCTAAGTACGGTGGCGAAATAAGTTCAACGTACACGCGTGTACATAGAAGCGAAGTACCTTTGATGATTGACTTCATGTCGCATTTGGTGGTGTCAATGTTGTGCAGCGCCACGAGCAACTCTCCCGGTGTGAGAGGCGACATGGCCACTCCACCCTCGCCTACGCAGGGCAGCGACGATGGACGACATCAAAAACACAGTTTAACACGTAGGCTTTCGTGACCAATATCATCCATAAGTTTTTTTTGCTGGATCGCGTAAATATATAAATGTGTTAGTTTATTATGAATATAAATGTGTCTTTAAAGCCTGCCACCACCCGACAGAATTGGCATGTTCTGTTTATGTGACAACCCTTACTAGTTGGCTGTGTCGGGTGGTGGTGGGTTTTAACGACACATTTATATATTTATGCGATCTAACTCAAAAACACAGGGGACTATTGGCAGTGCAGTACAGCAAGCAACTCGCCACATTTGTCGTTAATGCAGCAGTGGAAGAGGACGGTCCACGGAAGCGGATGCCACAGAGCTACTTCTGAGATCACTTCACGTGACCTGTGGTGCACAGAGTAGGAGGGCAGCACTTTCCCTCCCACTCTGCCACTGAGAGAAATGCTTATCACGAGACGAGTCAAACCAATATTTTCAATCCACGGAGCTGGTATTTATCTAAATTAAGTGCAGAACCAAATTTAATGATGGGTTTTTTTGCAGTCACTGGTGACCAGGCTGAGACCATCAATTCACTACACTTGAGAACCTGGTTTAATCACAGGCCTGTATATAAATAGACATTCAAACATTTTAAAGTGGCATATCCTGAATGTGAGAGTGGAAACATACGAGTTGCATCCAATGATGCCAGTCAACAAATTAAGCTATGACACCACCACCACTTTGCCGCCACAGTCGTCCACATCCACTTCTCTCCCTTGAACGCTGTTGATCCTGGAAAGCATCGCCGGCTATGGGCACATGCCCGGCCATACCGTGCTGGGTGCCGAGCAACCGGTTGAACACCTCCTTCACGACAATGGGGTTCAGCTTGATAAGCTTGGGCAGTGCTGCGATCACCTCTTTCTGTGGCACCGGAAATAAAAAAAAACATCAGAGACTCATTCGACCGTGGGAGACGGTGGGGGCTGGCTTGAGTAACCACTTCTCACGAGAGCCTCAACTGTCGTGATGTTTACCGGTTGTGAATTCATGCGCGGTGTGGACCGTGTTGTGGGGCAGTGCGGAAAATTATATTGTACTATTCCTCTGTGCTCCCTTATGCACCACAGACTGATATGTGTGCTAAATTAATGGTTCGGAAGGCATATCGGTCACATTGTACATCAAAATAATTAGCTTTATTGTGGAGAATATAAGTAACACAATAATTAAGCAGCCAAAAAGCCACTTTCCCAAATCTATCCCTCCAAATATCATTTTTCACCATCACCGCTTAGTGGCGATTGGCGGTTGTTTTTGTTTTTGTTGCGTGTAGCCTAGCGGTTAGTGCGCTGCCCTACGAACCCGGCAACCCGAGTTCAATTCCTGCTGACGATCAACACCAGTGATGAACATCTAAACCATTCGTGGGCCTCCCCTAGGGCGACTCAGCCTCAAACGAGTACCTGATGTTAGTAATTTAATGTTAGTAATTACGTATTTCTAGACAAAGGGTGTGGTGCTGGTCACGAACCCCCTCGTGCGCCGCACCGGTCTTCATAGGTGCTCGGCTAACAGCACTTGCCCGTACAGTCTGTTAGGGCTATACGGGGGATTCTTGTCTTTGCGTCACCTTCTCAAGGCCGTTGAGCACCGGGATGAGGAAGCGAACGTCCGACACGCGCTTTTGGTAGAGGTCCCGCACGCGCTTCACCAGCTCCGGGGACGGTGGAGCTGCAATGCGCACGACCACACGACACACACACACAAAGACATAGATCCCCCCCCCCCCCCCGTATAGGCTTAACAGAGTGTTGGGGCAAGTGCTGTTATCGAGCACCTATGAAGGCTGGCACTGCACACGAGGGGGTGGGTGGCCAACACCACGCCCGGCCGCCTTTGTCTCCCTGGTGCCAATGTTTACACACCGCCCCAGGTACTCGTTTGAGGCCGAGTCGACCTAGGGGAGCTCAGGACCGGTTCAGATAATCGTCACTGGTTTTGGCCGGGTATCAGGGTTCGTAGCACAGCGCGCTATCCGCTACACTACAGCTCCCCACACACGCACACATATGCACACACAACACATGCGGGAACGTAGTTCACGACATCAACGTCACAGCGTCAAGAAGCAAGGAGTCGGCAAGTGTGGTTTAGTGTTTGTTCTTCAAAACACAAAACAGATCCGTCGTAAGCTTGTATAGTGAAATCGTCTGGAAGCCAGGCTTTGGGGTAGGCCAGAAAGGCCACACAAAAATACATCAGCAGAAATTAATGAATAAACCAAAACAATTGCTGCATTGTTAAATGAAGCTAAGCTCCGTGGGAATGCGGCATTCTGTAGAACAAAAATTACAAATGATATTTCTCAAGCACCTTCATACTACATCAAAAAATAAAATAGCATTGACCAAGGGGGAGGAAAAGCTACGTAGAGACGGAGGTAAACCACCCCTGTCGTCACCGCATCACGAACAACACGGTCGCCCACGGTGCGCAGGAGCCTAGTCCGAGGGATGCACTAGGGCAACCCAGTCATCGAAGGAGAAAGCCTTCAGGGAATGGCACATATTGAGGGGGCGGGGGTCAATAAATCTGAGAGATGTAAAACTTGGTCTGCAGTCAATGCCTGTGCATCAGCTTTCCCGCGTGGTAAAGCTCTACGCTAATCATGTTTAGGGAATTTTAAATGGGTTTGTCAACACGGGGAAGCGTAAGACGCTTTCCCCGACCATTATAATAATTGCTATTGATGCGTGTTCATACACTTAAATGCTGTTGAGCTATCAAGTGTTAATTCAAAGTACATGTAATTTAACGTTTGTAATTAAGCATGTATTATCTGTAGTATGCTACACTCCCCCATAGCTGAAATGAGCTCTCCTTGTTCCCTCCAATTAGTCCCGGCTGCTGGAGGATTTACTCCGTATGGCAAGTGGCCACCGCCACGGGTCTGGAATTCTCTTTTGCCAATCGTTAGCGCTGGCGATTCCCTCACTGTTCAAAAGTTCAGGCTAAGCACCTTCTGCCAATCGGGAATCAGAATCTTAGATTTAGACTGGAGGAATACGATGAGCTATGAAGCTGTTTTTCACAGATGTCCAAAGGCTGTCTCTTCTAGACACGTGCTTTGATTCGTCAATTAACATCGATTGCTGCAATCAGGATACATGCATCAAATTGCGCATATAAAAAAATCTTATTTACGAATGAATGCAAAGTAATGTGCAAATGAGATGAAAATATTACATTTCAGATAATGCAGAGGGCAAAACTGTAGAAAAGGGAAGTGAGATCAAAACTAAAAACAAACCTTCGAGACACAAACAAAACTAGATGCAAAGAAATAAGAACAATCAATTCCTGAATCCAATCACGACCCAGAATCATGACAATTGAATTGTCGGTTGGGGTGAATGGTCACACACGGGCGTCCAATCAGTGCGAACAAGCGGATGCAACAGCACGTTCAAAATCAGTTGAACAGAATACCTTTCTCGGTAAGGATATGCAGGCTGCGCGTGACCAGCGTCTCGGCACCCTTGGGACAGCTCTCCACCAGCAGCAGCAACTCCGGTGAGTTCATGCCCATCCCACGGATCTGCAATGACCCATTACGTAATTCGCCGCTGACAGCACTCTTTATTCCACTGGCACATCCGAGCCAGCGTGGGCCTTTCACGGTACGGATATTTTTTTTTGTTGCAGCGGCTATTTGCCGAGTCAAACTGCAGCTAAAACCTTGGCACTCCGGACTCACAAGAAGTCATGAATGAAGCTCAGGGGTCAAGCAGGGCCAAGCAGGCGATGCCAACGGCGCATGTGACGTCAGGAAGGAGTTACATCGCAGCTTACTTTAGGCCAGGGGTCGGCAACCTGTGGCTACGGAGCCGCGTGCGGCTTTTGAAAGACTGCTTCATGACGTCATTTATTACGGACCACCGTTCTCGTATTCACGTGCATTGCCGTTCTTGATATAGAGTTTTTTTTACCGAATAATAATAATAATAAAAAATATATCTTCTTGTTGTCTTAGTTGCCGACCCCTGCTCTAGGATGCTAAAAACTGAACGGTTATGGATAGCACGTTAGAGATATCCCGATCACTGTATGCTACCGGCCCGCTGAAAATAGGTTGAATATAGGTAGGACATTAGAGGTCATGTGACAGTAGCTTACGGGCTGCTCAATGATGCGCAGAATGGTGCGCTTGATGTCTGCGATGGCTTCTGTGTAGACGGCGGCCAGCTCATGGATGAGTGTGTGGTTGAGCGGCAGCAGCGACAGGTACACATAGAGGCACTGCCGGATTGAGTCATCCGTCCATGATGAAGCCACCTCTGCATTTGTGAAGAGACAAAGATCCCTCGATATAGCATTTTCAAGGGGCTGTTGGGGCAAGCGCGGGTTCGGGAGCACGCGGCGTACGAAAGGGTGGTATGGCGAGCACAACACCCAACCGCATTTATCTCCAGTGCTGAAGTTTTTACACAACGCACCAGGTAATCGTTACCTCGGGGTGGTTCAAGACCGGTTCAGATATTCGCCACTGATTATCAGCCTGGCCGGGAATCGAGCTTAGGAGGATGGGCTTGGAGTGCTAACTGTTAGCGAGCGCCTATGAGGGCCGTCATGGCACACAAGGGAGTGGGGTAGCCAGCACCACGTCCGGCCGCCTTTGGCTCCCTAGTGGCGATGTGCCAACTGTTAATTGTATGTATGTTGAACTTCAATCGCACCGTACATGGCCAACCTTGCAAGTCGGAGGTGCGGCGGAAGGACAACAAACTAAACACAAAAAGCATTTCTAAAGAAAGTATTTTTCAATCTATATTTAAAAGTGCAGAGCTCCAGCGGCTTCCTAATATCGGAAGAGGTGCATTCCAGATGGTATCGGGTGGCGGAGGGATTTTTTAATGACACGGATTTAGCCAGATCATTACGTGGCCCAACCCCAATAAAAAAATAAAATAAACCGCGAATCAAGGGCCCGCGTGTTGTGCCGCGCGAGCTGGCGCAAGCCGGCCCTTACCGGTGTCGCGGTCGTCGGCAAAGCACACGGAGGGCGGGTTGGGGTGCACCAGACACTGCAGCATGTTGAGCGCGAACGTCTCGATGCAGTTGCGCAGCTCCTCCTTCTCGTAGAGACGCTTCACGAACATCAGCGCCTGGGAGCGCACCTGCGGACGATCACGCAACGCAGCCGAGCGGAGGCCGTTAACCCTCTCTGGTTCCGAGACGACTGCCAGTTTTGCAGGGTGGGGGGGTTCCCCTGGTCACCGCTCAATCTCGGAATGTGCAAGTGGGTTCAGCGTTAATGTTATTTAGAGAGGCGTAGCGCCGTTGTTTTTAAAGACGTTGTACTCGCCGCAGAGAATTGTAGCAAAATGGCCACACCATCCAACAGCTGGCGCCAAACTATGCCACACTCCTTGCCGCATGGCCTTGTGGGAGGCTTGGTACCAATAAATTGATTTTATTTTTTCTTCCAGTTCAATCATATTCCAAAACTCAAAACAAGCATCGAATTATACTGCCCTGAAGAGGAAAAGAATGTAGAATAGACGACATCTCGGCGGAACGACTCTGCTTCATCGTAGAGGGATAGCGAGGCCAGGGAGATCAAGCCAATACTCGTGGGTGACTGCAATATGACAGCACGGGGCTCTCGTTCAAATTTAATTTTGAAGAATGTTTCTAGAAGAACAGTCACAAATTGGTACACGAACAGGACCCATTCGTAGATGTTATCTAAAAATCGATCTTTTAATTGATATTCTATCGACTAATGGGTAACTCTTCGAATGCCAATTTAAGTTTTTTAAATTTAGTCCATACAATAACCAGTCAGGTGTATGTATGTTGAACTTCTTTCGCACCGTACGTAGCCAACCGTGCTCATCGGAGGTGCGCCGAGGTGGCTCAGCGGCAGAGCGACTTGCCCACAATCGTTAGGTTGCGAGTCCAAATCCTTCTTGGGGGTTGACTCAGCCCATCACCCCAAAGGGATTGAGATATTGTGCACCACTTTGTGGTAAGCCAACAGCGGTTAACCTACGAACAGACTTGCCCCCACCGTTGGAACGAGGAATTTCCACCACTGGATCCGCCTCAATGCTCATCTGAGCAGCAAATCACTTTGATTTTGTTTATATGATGCTGATGTTTCAAGCATCATCATCATCTGTGACATATCTGCTGCTGACTTACAAGGCACTCAATGGGTTAGCCCCGCAATATCTACAGTAAGCGATCCATCTTTATACTCTCCAACGAGGTGTCCCCGAGATCTCCGGATCGCCTTCTTCAAAGAACTCTGAGGTCAAGCCTCACTTCCTGGGGTGATCAGGCTTTTGCCAGTGCAGCTGCCAAGTTCTGGAACATGTTGCATTTGCTAATAAGACTTTCATGAACGTTATCTATATTTAAGTCCGTCTTTAAAACTCACCTCTTTAAAACTGGCCTTTACCCCCTAGTTCTGGCCGTTGACCCTGCAGGTTCTGTTTATTTCCTGCTTTCCACGCACGGTGCATGGGAATCTACGGATGAAATGCGCCTTATCGTCTACACCGAACGCGTGTCATGACTCTTCACGTGTTGTACGCTGGTGGGGCGAGGTGACGGTGGCGCTTGCCTTGTCCTTGTCGTGGGAGCACAGCTCAAGCAGCACGTGCATGTAGAGCATCTTCTGCGATGGCCGCTTCAGCACCAGCTCCCGCAGCGTCGACATGCCCAGGTACACGCGGGTCTGCACACGGGGCACGGGTAACACACGGGGGTCTTCACGCTACGCGCGGGTTCGCACGATACAAAAAAAACAAAGATCCCCCCCCATATAGCCTTCACAGACTGTTGGGGCAAGTGCTGTTAGCGAGTAGCACTTATGAAGGCCGGAACGGCACACAAAGGGGTGAGTGGTCAGCACCACGCCCGGCTGCCTTTGTCTCCCGAGTGGCGATGTTTACACATCGCACCAGGTACTCATTTGAGGCCGAATCAACCTAGGGGAGGCCCAGGACCGGTTCAAATAAATGTCACTGTTGTTGGCTGTGAGCGGGAGTTGAACTCAGGTCAACAGGTTTGTATAGCAGAAGGCAAACTGCTACACCACCTCTCCCCACATGAAGCACATACATACGGTACGCGTAGCTCTGCATGCAACACATGACAAGCACTGCCATTAAATTGATGTAATAGATCGGTTATATAATTATCGTCCTGATTATCGTCATCATCGGCCATGAGAGGGAGGAGAGTTCGAAGAGGCGAGCAGAGCGCGACGAAAGATGGAGGAGAGTGTGGAGGAGTGGAGCGAGAGGGGAGGGAGAGGTGGGCAGGGGCAATATAACACGATGCAGCGACACAAAACACCCACCTCATCCTCGCAGTACCTCCTCAACACCTCGAGCGCACGTCCTGTCATCCGTGGGGCCTCCAGAACGATCCTGGAGAACAGCCTGGTGACACGGAGCACGCGGCGGCAACAACAATCGTCACGATCACCGCCAACATCAATGACTTATATCGCACCATTCTTATTTTACGATGGTAGTCAGGCCTAGCCATAGGGGTTGGCTGTATCCGACCTGCGGGACCCTAGGTTCCCACCCTGTCCTTGACAAGCTCAGCTTGAATGGAGCACAAAGCGGGGGCCCACTGAGATCAAATCATATGATTACGTGCTCCTGCCACGGTGGCCACAGTGGCAAGATGTTAACGACCTCGCATGGTATACAGGAGGTCGCGAGTTCGATCCAGACCCTACCAATGCCTGTATATTTTGAGCTTGCATGTTCTCCCTGTGGGTGCGTGGATTTTTCTCTGGGTCCTTCGGTTTTTCCCTCCACATTTAGAATCAACAGGTGCTTAGAGTATTTGGCTGTTATAAATTTCCACACCATAAGCCACTTCGCTGAGCTATCATTTGCAGCTGGGTCGCTTCTGAAAAAGAGCTATATAGCTCAGTGGTGCCTTACCTTGTAAAAATAAAAATAGTTTAGTCTTAGTTTAAAGAGTTTTAAGGTAATAAAATTGATAATGCCCTGCGTCTTCACTTTGGGGTCACGTCTGATGTATCTGTGTATCAAAAGTTCAATGTTAATGTGCCATTCTATTGAGGGACTAATGCAGTGTGGTGTTATCTTGGTGTGGTCTGGGACTGTTTTGTTGTTGTTTCTGCTGCCTAGCTAAATCTTGATAAATTGGACTCATATAATACATTTATTTGTGTATTTATTAACTATTAATATTTAGTGACTTGCTTTCCCATTTTCTCTATTTTGCACTCCTATTGTGTTTTCGTATTGTGAAAAAGAGCTTTGTAGCTCATCGGATTCGACCACTCTAAATAAAGATTGATGATGATTTCTGGTGCACGTCAAGGGCAGGATTAGAGCGCGGCGTGGTGCATATCGGCGTCGATGGTGATGGCAGTGGCAGCGGCGGCGATGTCGCACCCGTCCCGCTGGTCGCCCTTCTCCAGCAGGCCGCTGAGCAGGCCCGTGAGACAGTTGTCGTAGTTCTCGAGCGCCGAGGGCTGCTCGCTTTCCAGGTAGGTGGCGTACTCCTGGAAGAGCCACGTGAAGGCCAGGTCCCCCTGGGTGCGCATGTCAGCCAGCACGCACTCCAGCAGCTGGGCCCGCATCTCCCCGCCGAACCGGGCCGCCAGCCGCGCCAGCAGCTGATTGCGCACCTGCGGGACAAAGGTGAAACGCGTGACAAAGGCACCCTCCGATTAGCACGGTTGGCTACGTACGGTGCGTAAGAAGTTCAACGTGCATGAACATAAAGGCGAGCGGCCGTGTTATAATAATTCGCGATACGTTGCCGGACGAATTTCCTCCCCGCGCTGTGTCAGTCGCGGAGGTTGATGTTTGACCATACTTGAGTTCATCCTCGTCAAATTAGAATTAAATTACACATTCAGGTTGCTCGATTTAATGCACTGTGCACTAACCAGTGCAATGCACCACGACTCAACTCGTAGAGCTAGACGGACAGATTATCCTCTCCAAAAAAACACATTTAATAGTCCTTCATGTATTGGATGTTGAAAATGCTACTTTTTTTCAAACATTGTTCAACACTTAGTGTATATTTTAAGCACACAACGACGTAATTGTTCGATGCGTTAGTTCGTAATACTCCCGCAGTGTACGTACACAATTTTGGAAAGGTTGCGTGCAATCTTGGACACGTCTCGTGATGCCAAGTTCATGTGTGCAACCACTTGCGCGCAACTGCTCCGTTTCATTGAGCTTCTTTATTGCGGTGGCGATTGGGGGCTTGTTTTATATTTGTGAGAGGCACAATATCAAGTAGTGCATGAGGATAATGATGTTTGTTGCGGGGTGGGAGAGGAAGTGTGCTCACCCGAGCCACGCTTACGTGGCTGGAGTCACCGCGCGTGTGTTGGCGATTTAGGGACTTGTTTTGTACTTGTGAGAGACACAATATCAAGTAGTGCATGAGGATAATGATGTTTGTTGCGGGGTGGGAGAGGGAAGAAGTGTGTTTACCCGAGACCACGCTTATGTGCCTGGAGCCACCACGCGTGCAGTGTTGATTGGGCGCTTGTTTTATACTTGTGAGAGGCACGATATCAAGTAGTGCATGATGATGATGATGATGTTTGTTGCGGGCTGGTGGAGGAAGTGTGATAACCCTCGCCACGCTTACGTGGCCGGCGCCACCGCGCATGCACGTCCTGTCCGCCTGGAGGATGCGGCCCACAGCGGCGTGCGACATGCGCTCCATCTCCTCGCTTGACAGCGGTTGCAGCACGTCAGCCACGCGGAATACCTTCCTGCGTATGCCTGGGCCAGCAAGCCTGTGACAAGACAAAGATCCCCACAGTATAGCCTTAACAGACTGCTGGGGCAAGTACTGTTAGCGAGCACGAGGGGGTGGGTAGCCAACACCATGCCCGGCCACCTTTGTCTCCCCAGTGGTGATGTTTACACATCGCACCAGGTACTAATTTTATGGTTAAGTCAACCTAGGGGGAGGCCCAGGACCAGTTAAGATAATCGTCATTGGTGTTGGCCGTGAAGGGAATCGAACTCGGGTCACCGAGTTCATAGCGCAGCGTGTTAACCGTTGCACTGTCGCTCCCCACAAGCCTGCGACACACACACACACCATTACTCACCTTAAAAATACTGATCTCTACATTCATGTGGCCTCGCTTAAATTGCCTCAGCAACTCAAAGCGCATTTTTATCATCATCATTATCATCATGTGGTGGAAATCTGAACATTGTTTTTCTGTGCTGACCGTGTCTGCGGTGCGGGGATGATGGGCTCGGGCAAGCGGCGCGGGGTCGGAGTCGCCCCCTCATCCGTCGCGGTCATGGCTCCACCGGCACCAGAGTAGGCGGTGGCCATGACGGAGATGACCTGCACCTTGCGCTTGATGAGCGAGTTCTTGGTGTTCTCCTCCTCCTCGTTCGCCTTCTTCTCTCGCTCCTTCTCCCTCTCCTTCTCTCGCTCACGCTCCTTCTCCCTCTCCTTCTCCATCTCCACGCCTGCACGACAGCGCACGCTTAGCAGAGCGCTTCTCAACAAGGGGGGGCGCTCCAGCAATTTCCATTTCCAGCGCTGGCTGTAAATCCATTTGGGTTATTTTATTTAAACACACGGCGGACTTGAGAGGCGTCGGTGGTGATGGGCGGGTGGCACACCTGGTCCAAGCCCGGCATTGGAGATCTGCGTGGCCATGAGACGAGCCAAGTGCTGGATCTGGGCATGCGTGCCAGCCGACTCGATGGGCGTGTAGGTGGCCTGGAAGGAGGCTGGCATCGTGTCCGGAAGGAGCACCATGCTCACCAGCACCTGCGGACCCATATTAGAAAACAAGATTATCATACGTTCGAGGTGCAGCTCTGAAATCACGTGGTTACGTCAGTGCTGGCGGAAAGGCCTTCACTTTATTGGAGCTCTGAAAAGGCTATAAGCCGATCACATAATTCGCAAGCGTCTGTCCGCCACGCTCTGGACCTCTCAAACGGTACGTGGGCGGAATCTTACAACCAAGTGTAAAAGGCTGTTTTTGCTGGTATGGTCTAGATCTATCTTGGTAGGTGGAGGAGGGGGGGGGGCATTTACGCATTCCTCCACAAAATTTAAATGTCCAGCCCTGGCTGCAATCCATTTGGGGATTCTATTTAAAACACGCGGGCGTGTTTTACCGCGCACCCACACAATGCGGGCCCACTTTACCAGGTTGGCCACTTTGTCCGGGGTGAGCATGGGCAGGATGTGCTGCGCCGTGACGTCGATGGCAGACAGTACGCTGGGTAACGGGGCCGCCTTGGGTCTTGGCGCCGGCACAGCCTCCGCTTCCTTGTCGTCGTCTTCGTCTTGCATGGTCTCTGCGCGACGACACCCGGGGTCGTGATCAGCGGGCGTCACTAACAATGGCTAATCGGCCCATCGCTTGGTGGCAGGGTGGCGCCACGGTAACGCTTGCGCCTCGCAGCAAGAGTTTTCCCGGTGACGATTCCCGACTCGGGTGCATTTCTGCACGGGGTTTTTGCGTTCCTCCGCTTGTTTCGCGTGGGTTTCCTCCGGGTTCTCCATTTTACTTCCTTAATTAAAACGGCCTACAATGTCACTGGTCTTGGCCAAACATCCAAATGCTGAAATATTACCTGAAAATTATCCATTGGGATTATTTATAGCAACGTCACCCACAAGGGCAGGGCCCTGGTGACAAAGGGTCGGTGCGGCTTTCCTGGGCAAACAGTGTAATAAAAATAACAAATAATAATTGCTTGACGTTGATTATTTTGCACGTAATACACGCATAAAATCGTGCATTGGGAATTAACATATACAACACATGATTTCTGCAAATTATGTGCAGTTTAGGTCCAGAACAAATTGAGAATGGCGGCGACACAGACCATTCATGAAAGGAAGGGTATAGTGGAGATTTGAAGAAGCCGGTGCAGCCACGAGGAGGAATCGCAACACCGAGCAGAACCATGGCAAAACATCACGCAGCGGGGCAAAACGCAACCGTCATTAGCACTTCCGATGACACCATCTGCAGCGATCACCACTCATCATCACCAGGTCACGTTGGGCATGCACTGGATGTTGAGGTGGGGGCCTGATGCATCCGCCATGGATGCCGAATAGCTCTGCTGCTATTCGGCATCCATTAGGGAACGGAGGAGGGTGGTGGTGGTTAATCAGTTATTTGAGAGTTCTAACTTATCGTTAACCGCAATTTTGAGTATTTCCTACAACTTTTCAGGAAAAAAACTAAGCCTACTTTTTTAACCACGATATAAGAAATAATATACTCTTTTACAGAGGTACTCAGCAGCCAGTTGTAGAGCATTCTAAGTGAATTGTTGAGAAGCAGTGGGGCCTTTTATTGTACAGCATACAGTAGTACAGTGCTTTATACAATAGTAGAGTACTGTATGTACGGATTGACGTGAGCGCCACCACTCCGCATCGTCCTGAAGCTCCCAAAAACAACAGATCTACGACAAGTGCATGGAAAGATGCCGGATGGCTGTCGGAATTTTTACAGATACGTGAAGTGAAGACTTGCATTACCATCTATGACAGATGCCGGTTAATACGAGCATTCCGCACGGTTAAAGCGCCGCATAACGGATATTTTGCTGTATAATGGTTTGAACGATTTGTTAAGGGAATCGTTTTTTTGTTTTGTTGGCACGAGCGCACGCGTACCCATCTTCATCTTCTTGCTGTGCTGCTCCGTGTCGTCGCGGTGCATGCGCCTTCGCAGTTCGCGCGCGCTCGGCATGTTGCGCTGCAGCTCCTGGGGACGGCAGTCGGTGAGTGTCGCACAAAACCGGCGCGGCATCGCAAGAGCTCACGCAGCCGTGCACGCAAGGGGTTGTTCCTAACGGTGGCCCCGGACAACGCGAAATGCCACGGATCTCCTACAATTAACACAGCCTCCGCAAAAATAAATTATTGCTGTCTGGAATCCCGAAAAAAATGCATTGACTTGATGTCAGTTATAATACAATGATTATTTATGTACTGTTTAGTTTAGTTTTTGTGCATGTTGCATCTCGCAATTGCCTAGGAACCACGGACAAGTGGTACCTACCATTGCCCAAGTTCTATGGTCCTCGATATATTCAGATGTTTTCTGGCAATTTAATAAGTATTTATGTCGGAGGGAACCGCAGCACCCGGAGAAAATCCACATGTGCGAGGGGCATACAGATAGGACAGATGGAGATTCGTCCACACTTTGATTCACTACCTTCCCCTGGTAAGCCAGGGCATGGCACCTCCTCGACAACCACGGGAAGGGAGTTTTGCAACATTTGTGTGACCCACCAACCCTCTATGTGACCACCCGTAGATGTAGGTTTGGAGAATGAGCTCTGGATTTAGATTGTGACAGGTTGAGTTTGCTCGATTAGATTTCCTCCGGTTCCCCTTCTCCCTACCAATCCCCTTCGTCCATTCTCTATTTTCCTCTGTTTGAATCTGGTTGTGAAAGTTTTTTACAAATATAGGATGAGACTCCTGTGTATTGTATGTGCCATGTATGTTTTATTTTTGAAGTATGTTTTATTAGCCAGAGGTTAAAAGTGGCCCATTGTAACGCATGCATGGGCAACCTGGGACACATCACGTTATTTTGAATATACAATTGTAAGAAAAAAAATATATAAATGAACAAATCTCAACTTAGTTTACTGAAGATGAGTTAAAAAATGGGTGGTGGAGCATGGCCACTGCGTGATATCCAAACTAGTCCTGACATCCCCCCCCCCCCTTTCACCCACGAGCACCGACCAGCAGGGCGAAGCATGGACGGGGAGGCCTCCATCCAGCAGTGGATTGACAATACAATGGGGCCATGGAGCACGGTGGGGTCGTACCTGTGGGCTGGTGCCCAGGTCATAGAGGAGGGTGCTCATCTGCGGGTGGAACTCGATGGACGATGGAAGTTTAAGCAGCCCCAGCAGGTGCAGCTTGAGGTTCTTCCGCACGCTGCTCACCTGTGACTTGGCAAGCGTCGGTGGCAAATTGGCTGCGCAAGCACACAGGCACCCGTGGTTTACACGTGGCTAGAACAAGAGCACTACAGTCTGTGGTGCAACTATACACACGTAAAAGGGCAACCCTGCAACTGTACGGCCAATCTAGATTTGATCTAGATTTGAGGTTTTCGTGACTGCAGGGATCCCCATACTCTTTGGTTCTTTCGGTAAAGTCACGTAGGTATAAAATAAAATAAATTAAATCACGACGTTTCGGGCGCAACACAAGCGACCGTCACCAGGTGGAACAGATACAGCAGGAGAACTGCTGACGGCCAGTTCAGGCAAATTTATTTTCATGAATACAACACGGAAAACTGCAGACTGTAGAAACGAGCCGAATGGCTGTCAAATGTGGAACGTAACATTTCACTGGTCTGTATTTTAGCCAACAGTATTTTAAACACATTCAATTACATTTATCTTATCCGTGTTGATGTCGATGTGCGGGCAACACTGTCAGCTATTATTATCCATGCCTACCCACAAATATAATTAATATCAGTGGGGTTATCCACTCATAAATATTGATAACAGGATAAATGTCTATACTTACGGGACACTTTTTATCTGTCAAAATATCAGATAGTGTGACGAATTTAGACCACGGAGTCAGCCGCTGGGATTTTCTCTTGTTTGTGTGATGACGTAGCATCTGGTGTTAATGCAGGAACCCTGCATTTAGAGCTCTTTAGTTCACTGGGCCCCCTCCTGTAATTATACACGCAACTCAATGTACTTCTCCTCTTTTGTGCCTCTTCTCTCGTAACATCGACTTGCCTCGCACATCTCAATCACATCCTTCAATCATCTCACCCTCGGTCTCCCTCCGCTATTCCTTCATGTCGCGGTGGCTAGGAGATGTTAACTACCTCGCCTGGTATGCAGGAGGTCGTGGGTTCGATCCCAACCCTGACGCCTGCTGTATATTTGAAGTGTGCGTGTTCTCCCTATGGTCGCGTGGCTTTTTCTCCGGGTCCTCCGGTTTTTCCCTCCACATTCAGAATCAACGTGCGTCCAAGAGTTTTTGGGCGATGATAAGCCACTTTGTTGAGCTATAATGTGTGGCTCGGTCGCTTCTAAAAAAATAGCTATACAGCTCTGTGGGCCTAACCACGTCAAAAGTTTAGTTTCTGCCCTGGGTGCTTTGTTGTTGTTGTGATCTTGCGTGCGTGCCTGCGTACGTGCACCGCGAGCGGCGAGGCACTCACCGTGCAGCGTCTCGTAGGCCTGTACCACGCGGGCCATGAAGACGGGACGCTGGCGCGCGATTGTGGCCAGGGAGCCCAGTGCAGCCGTCAGGTTGATGGAGGAGATGGCCGGGTGCACCATGAAGCTGAGAAGCCGCTCCAGCGCCGCCTCGCCCATTTCTCGCAGCTGACCTGAGAGCGACGACAAACCACCAAACCCACCGCCGCAACCGCGTCACTCTCCGCGACGCATCGTGCCGCACGCCATCCACAGCGATGGTCGTGGTAACGACGGTGATAATGCTATGGAAAATATGGCGGAGCGATACGCACACTGCGCTGTGAGAACGGTAACCCGAGCTAGACTGTCATCAGTGGCGAGTGATATTCGAACTGATCCAGCCCGCTCCCTGCCACCAATACTAAATCACACCTACTAGCGGGGTGAAGTATGACCAAACGACCTCTAACCGGGACAAGACACGGCGTGGGGAGGCCATTGTCCAGTAGTGGCGAATTGACAAAATGGTTCAAGTGACGCCTGCAGGCACTAGAGGCGCTGCAATTACAATGTGCAAAAATAAAAATGATCAATTTGTCAATGAAATCGCCACGCGAAACGTGATAATGCAGCACATGTGAAGTGGGGCAAGCTAATTGCCACAATCCTGATTATGACAATGTTGACGATTTTGACAATGATGGCGATGACGACGATGACAATGTTGACAACTTTGATGGTGGTGTCGATTTTGACGATGACGACGACAATGACGACTGTGACGATCACGACGATGATGACAATGTTGACGATTTTGACGACGATGCGGCGACTTACTCTGCTTGAGCAGGGGGTGGTCGCGCGGGATGCGCTCCATGCAGGCCTCTCCCTCCTGCCGCTTGGTGACCTCCGAGTCCTGCGTGCGCGGTGACATGGCCACCACGAGCATCTCGACGAACTTGATGGCGTGAGTGCGCACTCCGTCGTTCTCAGAGTCGAGTAGCTGCATGATGTCGTTGCGCATCGCACTCATCATCTCCCACACCGCCTCCTGCTCCTCGGATACCTTGCGGTGGCCCGCCAGCCACTGAAGGCGCACACATGCGCACAGAGACACAAACTTGACAAAAACTAAAACTATTTTTTTCATTTTACCAGAACATGGAAACTCCACTGAGCAATGTAACTCTTTTTGCAGAAGCGACCCGGCCACAAATGATAGTTAAACCAAGTGGCTTATCAAGGGGAAATGTAGAGCAGCCAAATACTCTATAAACGCATGTTGATTGTAAATGTGGAGGGAAAAACCAGCAGACCTGGGGAAAAATCCATGTGGCCACGGGGAGAACGTGCAAACTCGAAATATACAGGCGTCACGGTCGGGATCGAACCCACGAACTCCTGTATACCAGGCGCCACCTGTAACTGTATCCATTCCTGGACACGGGTGGGAACAACTTTCTCCCAGAAATTTAAACAAGGTCGTCTCCTGGGACTGAAATGCAAAGTGGTTATGAAAGTCGAGCGCCCAGCACATTTTGCCAGTCCGAGGTAGTAGGCAGCCCTGGTTAATGCTGCGAGTGAATTAACGGCATCTTGCCTCACAGGCCATGTGTGCTGGCATCACGGTCCGTACGAGAACAATTACCAGACAATATTTAATTGGGTAAAAACATAGCACAGACTTTACCGATCTGTGGAAGCATAGCCCCTTTGCGATGTGTGCTAAAAGAACGTGGCGAACAACAAATATAATCAACATAATTATTATTGCAGCCTGAAACATTAAAAGGCGATTGGAGCCAATTGTGGTGTTCTGGGTTAGAGCCGCGTGTTGAGCATTTCCTCTGTGAAAACCAACATTGCAAATTGATATTAAAATGACATGCGCCCAAAGACAAAGAGCCCCCCATGTAGCCTTCACAAGCAATTTGGGCAAGTGCTGTAAGCAAGCATCCATTAAGGCCGACACGTTGCACAATGTCGTGGTGTGCCAGCACTCCGCCCGTGCTGCATTTGTCTCTCCAGTGCTGATATGTCCACACAGTACCAGGTAATAATTTAAGACCGAGTTGACCTAGGGGAGGGGCCCAGCACCAGTTCAGATATTCGTCAGTGGTGTTGGCCGCGAGTGGGAATCGAACTCGTATCACCGGGTTTGTAGCCCTGTGTGTCAACTGCTGAACTACCACTCACAATTGCGTGAAAAGGGTACACACGCACAAGTAAAGACAAAGACCCCCCCCCCCCCCGTATAGCCGGAACAGACTGTTGGGGCAAGTGTTGTTAGCGAGCGCACCTATGAAGGCCGACACGGACAAGCACATACACGATGACGCACAGACAGCAGCGCCAGACCCACCTGCAGCATGACGCGATACAACTGCGTGAGGCTGAGGATAGCGCGCTTCACCACGTTCACGTTCTCGTCGTGCAGCAGCATGTTGATGTTCGCGATCAGCTTCAGAAGCAGCTCGTTGTCCTTCTTACTGCGGAGGGGAAAGCAAAAACGGCATCGCTCTTGGGATCTCAGCAACGCACACGCAGCGAGGCGGCGATCCTTGCGGAAGACAGTGACGTAGTGTGGTAGGCAAGGGCTCGGGATGCAAGGAATAAAATGGGTGCCCCTGTGTCCAATTTCCCCACTCTTTATAGCCCTGCGCCTGAGCGCCCTCCAGCGCACGGGTCCTGGTGCACAGTTGCACTTCCCGGATGTTGACTTGATAGCAACACCTTTGAACGTGTCGCAGGATCGTCATGTGGAACTACTTGCATATGCCTGGGACGGCCAGTGCATCCTTATGAATGTAAAGCCCATTTTGTCAATCCACTGTTGGACGAGAGCCACCCAAGACACGTGCAGATTGTGGGGAATGTTTGAGCATACATCGCCACGCTGATCGGTGACGGTTTGGTGAAGGAGGGAAGCACAGATATGGGAGCATAGTACAGTACAAGAATGGGTTTTTGCTGCACTTCCCACTGTTCACAAACATAGCCTCATATTCGCCGACAAGACCTATGTAATGCATGCTGGTCACCCGTGCAGTCACTTTCCAGGCTCAAACCTGCATAGCTTCCAAGATCTGATGAGACTGGATGCAATCCAGATGTTATACATTATAAATTCCATCTATACATTATAAGCTCCCATGGCAGGAATTCAGCTTTCATAGCTAGGTTTTAATATCGCATGGGTTATAAGCCAACAATTGAACCTTATGGAGGGACCCCGGGGTTCCATAAGCCCCCGGCTCTCGTATAAACTGCGTTGCGACGTCATTTTATGTCTGTTGAAGGCGAACGATACGGCAATCTATTCCTATCGACGAGCTCTACATGATGCGCTAATCAAAGCATTCAGCTCTGCATTAACTCATGAATTAAAATATATTGTTACACTCACGATGCACGCGCCAGACCATAAAAATAACGATTTATGTAAAGTTTTAAATATTCTGAATAAGTATGTTGTATTAATTTCACGAGACCACCCCCCTCACCCACAAAAGGCACGACAGCTCATCATTTCATGAATTGATTCTTGAATTAAATCCCACACCTGATTTGTGACAATACATGAAATCGAAACTGGGCCCCCGAATCATTCTGTATCTATTGATAGCTGTAGGTAAACAAAGATGTAAGAAATATGAAACTCACCATGCCTCTTCCATGAAGCCAATGATAAATTTACGAATTTCCAATAGTCTGTCATTTTGAAACGCGATCATTTCCTGAAAAAGGCGGAGCCAAGTGATATAAGCATGGTTACGTACGCATGTCCCGCTGTTCAATTCTTCTGAATAGACACTTTTAATGCATGAGCTGAAAGAATTGGAATACATTCGGGAAAGAAAAACAAAAAACTACATTCAGAAGAATTAACCTGATTTTACAATGACACTAAAACTTGAAATCCATTATAACTGGATTAATGACTTCAATAATCTACAACAGGATATTTTTAAATCTTGATTTGAAGCTTTCGTGAGTGCAGGAATCCATACTCTTTGGTTCTTTCGGTAAAGTCACGTAGGTATAAATAAGGATATTTTTTCCCACCATCCAAAACACCCATTATGGCTACCAGGCCTGTGATGGAATCGCACAAACGTAGCAGAGCTTATCGACCCGCAAGTATCGATACAATTCTCAAGTGGTGATCTGGCTTTTGAAATATATCCATCTCATCCTTGTTTTAGTTCGAAAAGTATCTACACATTTACGGGCACAGATCAAACGCACTCCCTTAAAATTTTAATTTGTGCTCATACACCACTGCCAATGGAGCCTCCTTTACTTTGTTTTCATTTTCATTTTTGGTCACACATTTTACAGGGCCTTACATCGAGGAAGTTATCCAGGAGGGCTGGTTCCTTGTTGACAATCAGTTCCTGAACCTGTGAACAAACGAGGTGGCATTCACTACGATCAAAACGATTGACAGCGGTTTCCAGTATTGTACACTAAGCAGAGTATTTTCATACAGGAATTACACAGATGGCAGATACGTTTGTTTCCTATTGGCCATGTTTAATGTCAAAAATAAGGCTGCTCATTTGGAACTCCAGCATGGTGCTGGTGGTTTTTCACTGGTAATTTGCTAAGCTGAGCCAGAACCAAAATATAAATTTGGCTCCTGTGAAACAGAGCCAGGAGCAGAGTTAAATCATTTTCGATATTTAATTTAACTCGCTACATGTGAACTGCGATGTCAGTGGCGCAGCAGTGGATCTGCAGTGGAAATAAAACCTGGGCGCCTCCTAAGCTGCGCAGGGCTGGCTCAGCACGGCTCCAGTGCAGTATGGTTGTGCAGTGGAATGAGTGAAATTTATTTACGATATGGGGCAAGTTATTATGCCTAAATTCAAGAGTTAATAGTTAAGGTTAGGTAACCATTGCATAGTGCCGTCCTTTTGGTTTTGGACAGGCATTGTCACAGTGCGCACGCACGTACTCACGGACACTTACCTGTTTCAGCAGGAGCAACTTTTGAGATTCATTTGTTGTGAGTGAAGCCTGGTTGATCAAGTCCACGACCTAGTAATAAATGACAGGAAGCAAATATAAACGTCGGCGGAAAACACATTACCAATATAAGAATTGACACGATGTTATAATGCACTGTTGTTTGTCCGTCCACTGCTTGAGGAAGGCCTCGACACTCCGTCATTTGTTTGTCCATAGAAACGAAAGGTGGTCTAGGATTGGTTCACATACATGTCAACCCATACGATTTACACGTATTATTGTACAGGAAAATTGTTTCAGGTCCATACGGCGTACAGCCGTTTCAATACGGGCAAAAAAAGTGCTCTATTTGTTTGTGTTTCTCCCTTGTGATCGGACTTTGTAGGATGCACGTTGAGATATATAAGGGCACGGGGTGACCAATAAGGTCTTAATTGGTCTGTAATAAAGTAGGCACTGATAAGGGGTTTACAGGCATGCGCATATTACTCGCAACTGAATCAGAATATTTTTTACACTGGAGGAATCCGATGAGCTATAAAGCTCTTTTTCACTGACGTCCATTAAATTATGTTAGCTGTGGCTGGGAATTGAATGTGTTGGGGAAAAAAATGAGACTTATTTGGTCATTTTGGGTAAGGGCCCTTCCCGGGCTAATTTTTAGGATGCAAGGCCACTTGCACCAAATGTTACACATTTCTCTCTCTGCTTTGTCGAGTTGGGATTGCAATCATCTACTCAACGCTTCTATGACAAAAAGGTACAGAGGTGCAAATGTACATTCTGCTCTTGAGATACACTTTCAGAGGGATCATTTTGGCAAATATATTACTCCAAGTCTTATTTTAGACGAAAAAAAATCATTTCCTGCTAAAATAATTGGCGAAACAACTTTTTTTTTTAAACCACAGACCGCCAATCCTAGAGAACACAAACCACCTGCTCCATGTGTCTGTTCCTCTCCCTGCATTTACGTCTCTTTAAGTATCTGTCTGTCCGGGCCTCTCTGTGACAAAGACTGCACAACTTCCGCGGTTATACAATCCACACAGACCCAACAATCCCCCGTGCTGCCAACACATCACATATTTCGATTTAAAGCTTTCGTGACTGCAAGGATTCATCTTCTTTGGTTCTTTCGGTAAAGTCACGTAGAATGAGAATAAAATAATAAATTGATAAAATAAAATAACACAATAAAATTCTCGCGACGTTTCGGCCACAACACAAGCGGCCTTCATCAGGTGAAGGGACGAGACTGTCTGGAGGACAGCGCTGGAGAGCCCCCCAATCCCCCATAGGCCACGAAGATCTCAAACACGACAGACTCCTGATACCACAGACCAAATACCCCAGAGGATCGCGGGCCCGCATCTCAAGAGACAATGGAGACAGTACATTCCCAAGAATGTCAACCTCACAGACTCTAGACCTCGGACCCGAGACTCCAAAAGACCGTATACATCCCAGATGAAGGACTGCTGATCATAAACGCTGGACGCTAGCACTGAGTCATCTGCCAGTTGCCCCCAGTTAGACCCTGTATCATAAAATCCGAGATCACGGACCTCAGTAGCCAAGTGTTCTTCATCGCAAGGTCCGCGGGCCACTGACAGCCTTTTTTTCGGCCCTCGACAATACACAAATAGTGAGAAAAAAACCCCCAGCATGCTGTCAAACTCCCCTTGGTTTCAAATGTGTGGCGGCCCTAACACCGACAATGTCTTATCGGCGAAAGTGTCCCCAGCACCCCCATTTGAAAATGAGTGTAAGGACACTGCAGCAGTCGGTCTCTTAAAACACCTTAAGTGAAAGTAATTTTTTTTATATTATTCTGCAACTTGCACCGCTTTACACGACAAAAGCCGAGGGACTTACACAGACTGAACGTGTCACGACGGGACATGGACAACCCAGCAAGTCCACCGCCTTACATTCTGTAGGCCCCAGACTTCGGACCCGAGACTCCCAGACAACCCCACGCCTCACCGACCGTCCCCCCTCACCCCCCAAACTCCCCTAGACGACCCCAGAGAGCCTGGTGGTCCCCCCCCCATCCCTACCGCCGCCACCCCCTGACTTTCCCCGCTCTTTCCGCCTCACGCTCACCCGGTCAGACGTGGGCCTGCTGTCCGTGTTGCTGCCCGCCTCCTCGCCCGCCTCCAAGCGCAGCTCCGAGGCCATGCCGAACCGCTGCGCCGCCGTCATTTGCTCTCCCCGCGTCCTCCTCGTTCCCCTCTGCGGTTCGCCCTCTGTTCTTTTCGCTGCGCGGCCACAAGGAAGCCGGACGGCTGCTTGCTCGCTCGCTTGCTTGTTGCTGTCGCTGTCGGCCGCTAACCTAAAAGGCCTAGGGGTGCCATCATGGCTCCTGTGATGTTGCCGAGGTGGGGGGGGGGATGAAATTAGAAAGTGACGTCATGTCGCGGCACGCGCTCGGCTCTACGTCACCGGAGATGAGACACTGTTGAATGACGTCACTGAGTTTTTTGACGTCATGTCGCGGCACGCGCTCGGCTTTACGTCCCCGGAGGAGATGGGACACTGTTGAATGACGTCACCGAGTTTTTTGACGTCAGTCATACGCACGAGGCAAAAATCGCGAGGCGCGCGTAAACATTTTAACGATTTTAATCGACGCGCATGTAATTAATTACAGCAAAAACAACTGTCGGAGATCGTCCTGCGACATTTTTTTGTGTGTGCCACGATTACAAGAAAGACGGACACTTAAAAAAAAAGAATTATTCCCCTCACGCGTTAAGGTAAGCGCATGGGAATCTCGCGCGCCGCACTAAACTTATGTACGTACACGGCTAAAATTTTGACTTAAAACTTTCGTGACTGCAGGAATTCATATTCTTGGTTCTTTCGGTAAAGTCACGTAGATAGAAAATAAAAATAATAAAATTTCAATTGAAAATAATAAATTGAAAATGAAAGCACGACGTTTCGATCGCAACACAAGCGGTCTTCATCAGGCATGTGGAGTAACGTTATGCGCGTTGCACACAAACATACATTCTTGGCTCATAGCAATGACTATAGCATCATCAGGTAACAGCCAGATTTGGCTGTTACCTGATGATGCCAGTTGCAATCACTGGCGAAACGTCGAATATCGAAGCGACGTTCAATCGAAGCGATGGACAGGGTCGTCGTGGGTGGTGGAGGCGAAGGTATGTGATGCGACGGATAACGAGAATGGACGGACAACGACGACTCTTTTCAGCGACGTTAAATGTGGGGTGGTCGAAGGCGACGCAAATCAGCTGGCGGTGGTGTTAATAAAGTGACGACGTATTTGCGAAACGACGCAGAAGGGGGGGGGGGGGAGACGTAAGGCGGAGTATCGCCGTATATATGTGTGTGTGCGCGTGTGATACGTGTGGTGGCGCAGTAGTTACCCCACTGCGCTACGAACCCCAGCAATCTTAAGTTGTATTCCCGTCCACGGCTAACGTCAGTGGCGAGTGATGCCCCAACGGCTCCTGCGCTTTCCCACTTCATCGCCCCGCACTGACCATAAGTGGTGAAGTATGGTCAAAAAATCCGCTTCACCGACACGGCGTGAAGATATCTAAATCAGTCCAGGTTCGGGCCTCCGTTAGGTCGACTCAGCCTTTAAATTAGTATCTGGTGTAGTGTAGAATATATATTTAAAAAAAACAGAATTTATCCAAGAAAATCTGCACTGGAGTAGCTTTTTGCGTGGTCTGGTTTTCAGCACTGGGGGAGACAAAGGCAGCTTTTTGCTTGGTCTCGTTTCCCTGTCAACACCACTCCTGGCCGTTAATAGTTGCTCGCTAACAGCACTTCCATGCAGTGTTGCAGAAGGCTAAACTGGCCAGAATAAGCTACTGTACCGTGATGGATGTCCGTGCTGTGCGCACGCAGAGAGCACCGCGGGTGTTTGGCGTCTGTTCGAGGGCGTGTGAGCAAATTAAAAGATGTACAGGTGAGAAGGGGGGTGAGGATGAGGTGAGAGGGAACAGGTGAGGTGAGAGTGACGGACGGTGAGAGTGAGTGTAGGGAGAGGCAAGGTGTAGTGGTGAGGGGGGGTGAGTGAGGCAGGTGACTTTGGGTAGGTGATAGGTCAGTGATATCGGTGCGGTGAATGAGACGGGCACACTTGGGGAGACAGGTGAGATTAGTGTGAGAAAGGTGAGTTTTGGATTGTATGATTAGCCAGGTGAGCGTGTGGTGAACCAGGTAAGTTGTGGTAAGCTTGTGGTGAGACGGGAGAAGTTTATAGCGAACCAAGTGAGTTCTGAACGGCAGTCTGAGCCAGGTGAGTTGCGGTGAGACAGGTAAAGTTTATAGCGAGCTAGGTGAGTTGTGGTGAGACAGGTGCAGTTTATAGCGAGCTAGGTGAGTTGTGGTGAGACAGGTGAAGTTTATAGCGAGCTAGGTGAGTTGTGGTGAGACAGGTGAAGTTTATAGCGAGCCAGGTGAGTTGTGGTGAGACAGGTGAAGTTTATAGCGAGCCAGGTGAGTTGTGGTGAGACAGGTGAAGTTTATAGCGAGCTAGGTGAGTTGTGGTGAGACAGGTGAAGTTTATAGCGAGCTAGGTGAGTTGTGGTGAGACAGGTGAAGTTTATAGCAAGCTAGGTGAGTTGTGGTGAGACAGGTGAAGTTTATAGCGAGCCAGGTGAGTTGTGGTGAGACAGGTGAAGTTTATAGCAAGCTAGGTGAGTTGTGGTGAGACAGGTGAAGTTTATAGCGAGCCAGGTGAGTTGTGGTGAGACAGGTGAAGTTTATAGCGAGCCAGGTGAGTTGTGGTGAGACAGGTGAAGTTTATAGCGAGCTAGGTGAGGTGTGGTGAGACAGGTGAAGTTTATAGCGAGCTAGGTGAGTTGTGGTGAGACAGGTGAAGTTTATAGCGGGCCAGGTGAGTTGTGGTGAGACAGGTAAAGTTTATAGCGAGCTAGGTGAGTTGTGGTGAGACAGGTGAAGTTTATAGCGAGCTAGGTGAGTTGTGGTGAGACAGGTGAAGTTTATAGCGAGCTAGGTGAGTTGTGGTGAGACAGGTAAAGTTTATAGCGGGCCAGGTGAGTTCGGGACGGCAGTCTGAGCCAGGTGAGTTCTGGTGAGACAGGTGAAGATAAGATCCTCCCGTGTAGGTCTGGGCTGATTCCTCACCGTTCTCATGATCATTGCAACTCCACGAGGTGAGATCTTGCATGGAGCCCCAGGCCGAGGGAGATTGACAGTTCTTTTGTGTTTCTTCCATTTGCGAATAATCGCACCAACCGTTGTCACCTTCTCACCAAGCTGCTTGGCAATGGCCTTGTAGCCCATTCCAGCCTTGTGTAGGTCTACAATCTTGTCCCTGACATCCTTGGAGAGCTCTTTGGTCTTGGCCATGGTGGAGAGTTTGGAATCTTGATTGATTGATTGCTTCTGTGGACAGGTGTCTTTTATACAGGTAACAAGCTGAGATTAGGAGCACACTCTTAAAGGGAGCCAGAAATCTTTCTGATTGAGAGGGGGTCAAATACTTATTTCCCTCATTAGAATGCAAATCAATTTATAACATTTTTGACATGCGTTTTTCTGGATTTTGTTGTTATTCTGTCTCTCATTGTTCAAATAAATCTACCATTAAAATTATAGACTGATAATTTCTTTGTCAATGGGCAAACGTACAAAATCAGCAGGGGATCAAATACTTTTTTCCCTCACTGTATATTCCGGGAAGCGCAATCGACAATAGTCTTGTCACGAAGACAAAGAATCCATTCGGAAATCTCGCAAGACTGCGAATGCGACCCCTCGTGTCGAACAATACCTCTGCCTAATTAAGCGAGACATCATCTGTATTGTGTGCAGTCATTGGTGAGTGAGCTTTCTCTACTCCTCAAAACTCGGGTTTAATCACGGCGCGACTGAAACCTGGATTCGAACCCAGGCGCTGAGCTGTGGCGCCCCAGCGCTCAGTGGTCTCACATCTGAGCCACGTGGCCACTGCCATTATAAAGGTTCGAGTCATTTACTCGTCGGTTTTGCCCAGTCGACATCTGTCTCAATAATTGCTGGACAGCAGGAAAAGAGCGATGCGATCAATGTCCGCGAGGTGTCCAGGAGATGGCAGCAAAGCTACGGATCCTTGAATCTATCCGTGCGGCGCTTACAGTGTCACTCCCCTCGTGTGCGTGGTGGGTTTTCTCCGGGATTCCCGGTTTTTCCTTCCACATGGAGCCAATCTGGTCATTCATGGAATTAGCCAAGCATCCCAATGTAGCAGGGCCCTCCTGATAAAAAAAAATGTCTTGAGACTCGGGAATACTCTCATGGGTAAATAAATGTCGTTGTGACCATTACAACAGCACTATATTATTCTGTACGGTGTGCGCTGCAGAATTGTATTGGCCAAATCAATGCAAGATTAAATACATCGCACAGCCTTATGAATGACTAGCGGGAAGTATCCGGCGTTCCCCTGGCGAAAAAGACACACACACACCGACTTACACACACTTGCAGACATTGACCCACACACACAAAGACATAGACTTACACATACACGCATATGGACTCACACAGACATCGACTTTAGATACACACACAACACAGCAACCGCCATTCGCCACTAAGTGGCGGTGACGTCACGACGACGCTTGTGCCAGGCTATGTGCACCTTGAGGCCACGTGAAGTGTTGAACGCCTGCTGACAGGAGGTCACGGGGCAGACCAAGATGCCGCAGTTCGACTGACTGAGACGACTGGCTGGTGCACTACCTGTGCTCCCTACTGTGCCAACTTGCTGTCCTTTAGCCACCTGGTGCTCTGCTCGTTGTGAGCGTCGCTCCTCCGCCCTCCGTTGTTATTGGAAGGCGACTGCCTCCAACTGCCCAGTCGTGTCCTTCACGAGCCTCCTCCACAGAGGCCGATCCTGACACCGCTGGTACCAGTCGTCGACAAGTCCACTCAGCTCCACGTCCTCCTGTACCACATCACTCCATCTCTTCTCTAGCCCGTGCCACGCCCGTTTAGCCCCCTCAATCCGGCCGAACAAAATCTGTTTGGGCATGCGGGCTACATGGCCCAGCCAACGCAGTCTAACCTGCTGGAGGTGCTTACCGATGGGACTTTGTCCAGATCTTTTGAGGATTTGTGAGCTCCTCACACAATCCAGCCTGGCTAAACCCAGGATTGATCGTAGGCAGGCCAGCCTAAATGTTTCTAACCGGCGAAGATGTTCCATTAGGGGGGTCCACATTTCACACACACATCGACTCGCACACACATGGACTTAGACACACACAAATATTAGAAAATGTACTCACAAATTTTGAAATAATTAGTTGTCTACACACACAGACCACACACATCGACGAATACACACATCGACTGACACACACACATACCGACAAACACACACACTAATGGAGGCACACGCACACATGGACTTAGAAACAATTATAAATATATTAGTAATGACCAAGTAAATTTAGAAATCCTAGTTGACAGCACGCAAAAATTATGAATGTAATATTTGCAAGTTGATATATAAAGAATAGGTGTCTATCAAGGTGAGGTGACATAGTAAATATATTAATAATGAGTTTAACACGTAGGCTTTCGCGACCAATATTATTCATAATAAAGGTTTTTGGGTTAGATCGCGTTTATTTATAAATGTGTCGTAACCCTCCACCACCCGACACGGCCAATCAGCAAAAAAGTGTCACGTTGACAAAAGACAAATAAGTAGTGAATTATTTGTCTTTTGTCAACGATGTTGTGTCCTGAGCAGCTTCATGACTATGCTATAAACTGGACTACTATACAGTACAATATTATGTCTTCAAATCTAAACTACATGGTATAACATCATATCATAGACAAATTCCACCTTTGAATTATACAATGCGTTACTTTACACTACCCTATACTTTAGATTATAAACTATTTGACTTGTGATATTACACTATGTCTTATTATATGAACCCAACTATATACCACACTGCTGTATATTCACTATGCAATTACGATGCTATATATTGCCTTATGAGTTCTGTTAAATATTACAATGTTATACTATTAATTATTATACTACATGTTATAAACCATACCATTGACCGTCGTGTGAGAAGTATTAAGAGGCAGTGTCAGCGAAAGGGCTGTGGTCTGAAAGTCACCGTGATTTAAAATCACCAGAATTAAGGAAAAGTATAATTTTAAATTACTAGTAGCGTGTGGTGGTCTGCGAAAGTGGGATCTGCACACACTCCAAGTCCCAGAGGTACCGAGTCTCTGTTGCACTGTGACATCACCGAGTCAAGTGTCCACGTCACCGTGACGCAGGGGCGGAGCCACAGGGGGGGCTGGGGGGGGCTCAGCCCCACCTGAAATTTTGGGAAAGTCGGTAATCGGGATAACCGGATATCCGGCTGCTGCAAAATGCTGCAGGCTGCCACCTCGTGTGCTGCCCTGCAGGCTGCTTGAGCGGCAGCCTTTCGAACTTATCGAACTTATTAGCCACATCAGCGGCTCCGACCTATTAATAAACTCCGCGTTCAAATCCAATAAAATTTGTTTTATACATTTATGGCGCCCATTGGAAAACATAAACACTGGATATCTCAGAATATTGAAGTCAGCCCCTCCCAAAGTCAAAATCCTGGCTCCGCCCCTGCCGTGACGTAACATTCACGTAAAAGCCCAGTGACTGTAGCGGCTCTGTGTTTTTTATGTTGCGTTTCAATAATTCTACGAAATTTTGGCCCTGGTATTTTGGTGGCAATTAACTTGAGTAAGTTAGATTCAATAGTGCTATTTATATACTTATGCCGTCATAATTTTTGTGAATGTTGGTTGTGTTTCGTGGTTGTTACCTGGTGGATATTGTGTTGCTTGTTTGGGGTGGCTATTTTAAGTGGCAATTGCATATTATAGCGGTAATTGTGTTGAGTAAAGTGGTTGTGTTTTGCGATTGCGTTCAGTGGTAAGTTTGTGTAAAATTTTATCGTTTTATATTTGTATTATTTTATTGTTTCCCTTCTACGTGACTTTACCGAAAGAACCAAGAATATGAATCCCTGCAGTCACCAAAGCTTTAAATCAAAATTTTGCTGGTGGTTGTTTAGTGGTAATTTGGTTCTGTATTGCTTATTGTGGTTTTAGTGCTTGTGTTTTTTGTTCTAATTATGTTCACTGTTTCGGGCACTGGAGAGCCAATGCTGTGTGTGGTTGTGTTTAGGAGAGGTGGTTGTGTCGCTCCTGTTGCGTCTCACTTCTTGCTCCACGATGTTTCCCGGGACCCTGCCACTGCTGCTGCTTCTGCTGCTCTGGCCCGTGAGCCCAGTGCTCTGCTGCCTGCGCTGCTCGCCGATCTTTGAGACCGTGCAAACACAGCTCAAGGTGCCGATCCAAGGCTTGAGCGCGGAGCAGAAGCAACAAGTGTACAACGTCATCATGGAGATTGGCAGCAAAGAGGCCCCCTTTCTGTGTAAGTGGAAACTCATTTCTTTAAAACTGTTTTCTTTTTCTGGCAAAGGAGGTCTCATAATGTAAATGCTCACCCCGAGCCCTCAATACTCTGATAGTGCGCTGTTTTTGAGTTGTACGCCTTTTGGCGTCTTCTGGTCCAACACCAATGGAGACTAGGCTCTAAGAAAAGCTGTCTCGGGTGTGGACCAATCAAATTCAAGGACAGTGCATATTATTATCAGAGTTGTCTTTTTTGTTTGCATTTTGACTGCTTGTGTTGTGGTTATTGCAAACATGATGCCTTGAATAAAGGTGTCAGTTTTTGTGCCAGTTAAAAGGGTAAAACCTATTCCTAAAACTGTTTTTGTGTTTAGATTGTTGTCCTTCCCCTGCACCTCCGATTAGCATGGTTGGCTATGTACGTTGCGAAAGAAGTTCAACATACATACAATTGGCGCTGTAAAATCCCTACTCTCATTCCCCACTTTAAAACCCCTCTGTCAATCCCAGTTCTCAAACCACTCCATCAACCCCCACTCTAATTCAACTCTCAATCCCAGCTCTCAACCCCCTCTGTCACTCCTCACTATCTTTCTATCTCAGCTCTCAATCCAAGCTCTCAAACCCCTCTGTCAATCTCTGCTCTCAAACTCCTATGTCAGTCTCTGCTCTCAATCACCACACTCAATCGTATACTGAACAGGCGACACGAAAATTAGGTGACATTTTGCAATTTGGAGGAGCTCCCGTTAAACACGAACCTCGCACCTAACCCTTCACAACTAACCAATAATTGACGAATACTAGCCCCCCATTAACCCCTAACCAACTAGCCAACCAGCCAGTAGTATCAGCCATTGTACGAGCGATTGTTACCTTTTGTTCACCTTACAGTTTTGGATTTCTGACATTTGAAAGTGACAGAATGAAACGGATGACATTAATTCCTCATACCATATGGGAATTAACAAATGTATCCATGATTTATACTGCATGGTCTAAAAATGAAACGTTTGTCCTGTTTTGGAGTGGAATACAAATTTAAAAAGGAAGTTTACATGTGTATATATGTTAATCCTATCGATTTTCCAAACAATTTTTCTCAAACATACAACACTTACTAAAGTCAACAACGCTTAGGAAGCCTTGAGTGATTGGTGAGAGTGAACTTCCAATTAGGAGCCAACTCCTTGACAAATGTATGTATTGAGCTTGTGAATTCAAGGCCGGCATGTGTGGAGTTGGATCTCGTAAAACCCAACACATTCGTCCATAACGGTGTTGCCTTTAAAGGAAAAATAGATAACATGCAACTTTTCTGGCAATAGCCCTTCTTCAAGGGACATAATTAACTGTACTGGTTATATTATTAGCTTCTCCGGGGTGGGCCCGGGTACTGAGGAGGGGCATTGTGTAAATACTGGTAAATTTCCCCCACATCAAATGTTTCTTTTGCTCAAGATGTGAACCTAGTGCTATGTGTGTATGTATGTTGAACTTCTTCCGCACCATACATAGCCAACCGTGGTAATCGGAGGTGCGGAAGTCAAAGGTGGTGTTGCTGATACTTTCATGCTACTATCAGTGAAGGTTGACAGTGGTGGCAGTTGATGGTACTATTGATGTTTATGTCTTCACAGTCGATTTTGACGACGTGGCGCCGATTTACATGAAGAAGATTGTCGATATCATTGACTCCATGAAGCCAAAGGGTGAATGTTACGCACCCACCACACTTACCACCAAAACAACATCACAGCACGTCCTCAACACCACACCACATTCACAACCACACCACCACAACCACACTCGCTCAGCACCACACATAAATCTGCTTCTTCGTCTTACTGCTAATTCTCATTGCACGGACATGACAGTCCATGGGCCAGAAAATAAATTGGTAGTACCTCAGTTTGCAACACTTAAGTCGGTACCAATTTAGGTATGCGGCTGATACAAGTGAATTATCTGATAACCCCTCTTATTTCGCATTGGGGATCTTATCATTCACTGTTATTGGCCACAGAGAAATTGGAACCAGTAAATGTATGCCACCTCAGGTGATACTGACAAAGTGATTTATCCGGTTCTGGGCTCATGAACTCTGAGGATTGTGACTTTTCCCAAGGTGAGCTCAGTCACTCCGTCACTACTCTCCCCACACACACACACATACAGTGTCATGGCACTCAACATCTGAGCACAGGATAGACTCCCCCCCACCTCCTCCCAGACATCTAAAAATGTTGGGGCCATATTTAACACCAGTGGTGGTTGACTTCAGAGTTCACCAGTTTGGTGAACACCGGTGATGATTTGGTATGGAGACTGTCCACAGTGGCTGGAGTGGGCAGCACAATAAGCAAACATGAGGTCAATCAAGCAATGGGCGTCACAATCTTTCTTCATGAACACAAGTTACTTGGTGATGCTGCTGCGTTGGCAGCGGTGCACAAGCACAAATAACACAATCATAAACTCAGCACGTTCGTCAATAAAACCGTGGCCTTAAAATGAATATTAGATAATAGGTGTTGTTTCGGGTAAAGGCAGAATGAACGACAGACGATAGCAGATCGTGTCATACACATTGTGTTTAGTGTTTCACATTCGTTTAAAGTTTGTGAAGCGTTAACTGAGTCGTGACCCCTCCCCCCACTTTTAAATTAAGGTCACGCTGCAGGGTTGCCCCTCCACCACTTACCCCTTTCATCTCCCTCCCCTCCTGGTCTCATGCCACTGCTAGTCAATCTCACGCCACACCACTGGGTGAACTCGCGCATTTCACGGTCTGAGAGTTGCGCTGCGAATGCAATTAGCATTGGAGTTGGTGTACACTGCCTAATCTGTCATTGTGTCTTTCTCTTTCTCTGCAGGATTATTTGACAGCTTGAAATCGATGAAGATTCCAGGTAAAACTTTAACTTGTACAAGTAGCGTTATTGAGAAGGTGGTGCAGCAATGTGTAGACTAATATCACCTGTTCCTTCTGCGTGAATGTTGCCCCCTTACATGCATGTGTTTTATCCAGGCGCTCCGGTTTCCTCCCACTTGTATAATCACTCATCAATTGGCTAAAGCCATCTTAATATATAGAGGACCACAGAGCTTGGCCAATTGTTGGTCACACCGGCTCACTGCTCGTGTCTGTGATACCAAAGCGATTGTGAGATGCAATGTGCATGAATGACGCTATACAAAACTAAACATTATTAACATAACAGTGATAAGCATACTTTATTTATGATTTAATAAAGAGGCAGACAAGGGTAAGTTGGAGTGCTTTTGGGAAGCTGAATGTGACGATAAGTAACAGCGAAGCGCTTCAAAGAAAGTGTTGAATCGTCCACTGATTTGTTTACATTGGTGGGCTGAACTACGGTCCACTGCTATCGTGCCAATCACTTTTAACAGTCAAGTGTGGTTACAGGGACGAGCAAATTGCAGAAGTCACAGAAAACAAACAGTACATTGATGTAAGAGAAAGTAGAAGACAAGGGTACTGTGCAATCCCATAAGGAGCAGGGCTATAGGAAAAACTAAACTAACACACTGGGCAGATATGGAGTAGAAGTGGCTCAGAAACCATGCTTAACTTTGAAGGACACGCCGAACAGAGGTCAGGAAATAAGTCTCAACAGAAGATACAAGTCGGGTGATATGTAGGTCCAATTGCTCAGATTGTCCCAGCGGCTACATAGGCGAGACAGGAAGAAGCTTATAAGACCGAGTAAATGAGCATGACGGAGCAAGAGGGAAGGGAGCTGTAAAAAGGTTAGGGGTGTGTAATCAGAGTTGCCCATAGGGTACGGCGAATCAGGGCGACCGTCCCTGGCCCCACGATTTGGGGGGCCCCGGGCTTTGACATGTCACGGTGTCAGATGTAATAATTCTGGCTTAGTTTGAAGGCGTCGGGGGGTCCACACACGGTGTCATTTGATCCTGGCCCCGCATTCCCGCCCCCCACCCCCCAATGGACGTCGCTGTGTGTGAGCATGTGTGGAGGTTGAGACACGAATTTTATAGATCCAGCATTCGAGTCACAGGCGGCACAACCACACGCGTTTATGAGAAGCTGGTTTCTGGAGTCATGGCGTTCTAAAAAACAAAGGAGCAGATTTAACACAGCAGGCTAACTTCACAGCAGCTCCATGTCAGGGCCTAGCGTAAGAAAACTCTGGACAACACACAGTGAGCAGACGCGAGGGTGAGGAGAGCTCCAAGGCAGTGAGGGGCTTAGTCCCTGTGCCGATATAAAGGTTGAGTGGCAACCAGGCAAATTCTCTCTGCAGAAGGGGACAGCATGTGCATCGCTGGAAACGCCTGAGCAGTTGACTGGAGGAATCTGGCGTCGTGTGGGCTGGCTGCAATTTAAGGGTTTCAAGATTGGCTGTCGAAGTGTCCGGAGATTAAATTACCAGGAATGGAGAAGCATCTTCTTGATGTCCATACTTGTTTAGATATTGTGCTTTAGTTGTTCAATTATTTGTTATGTTCAATTATTTGTTTAACGTTTGCTCAGCGTCGAGTTTGGTGTGTGCCACCTTTAAATAAGGTCGCGCTACTTGGTTGCCCCGCCACCACTGAACCCTTTCACCTCCCTCTCCCCCTGGTCACGTGCCACTGCCGGTCAATCTCACGCCGCACCACTGGGAAAACTCACGCATTGCGCGGTCTGTTGAAACAGTTGAAGTAGCATTGGAGCCGATGCACATTGTCTCATCAGTCGTTGTCGCTGTCTCTCTCTGTCTCCAGGAATGTTGGGTGGCAAAAACGACGTCGATGTTCCAGGTAACACTTTAACTTTTATAAGTAGCATAATTAGCATAGCTGTGGAAGGAATACTGTTATATATTTATCCATGCAGTCAGATTCTGGAAGTAACGGATGAATTCCAACTTCATGTAAAGGCGTGTTTCACTGGGTGCGGGAAGTAAACTGTACCCAGAGAAAAACCACGTGCGAGGGGATAACACCCTAAGCCCAGCACACACTCAAAACTCACTTATTTTCCCTAACTCACCCCACGACCCCTTGTTCTCCCCCTCATAACCCCCTTCGTTACTTTTCCCTCTTCATATTCTCAATGCTTTCACTCATTCCCCGTTCATTCAATCCATTCATCATCATTTACCGTTATCAATTCCGCTGTTCCCGAATTCACGCATCATCACAGATTTTCCCCCATTGCTTCCTCTCATCTATTTCATTAACCTCATCGCCACCGTTACATTCATTGTTAATTCTGTGCAAAGCGCCTTGGATAAGGAGCTATATACATTATTTTAAGATGAGATAATATGAACCCAGCCGGGTTGGGTGAAAATTCCACGTGATCCAACCAACCCTTGCCTCCAAATTCTGGATTGCAGACGTGCGGCACCGGATCCGGTTGATAGCTAGAGAAATTGTAACGGTAGTCAAAGTGTGTTTAAGTTACCTGAGCTGAATAATCCTACTGTGAGAGCATAAGAATTGTAAAATGAGAAACTAATTGAATAAGTGGTCCATAATAACTCATCATTACATACATTTTAAGGGTAAACCGATGAATGTTGATAGCTTTAGTGATGGCGATTGTGGTAATGGTGTTGATGGTACAGATTTTGATGGTGTTCTTGTTTCTACAGATGTGCTGAGGAAGTTAATCGCTCTCTCAAGAGAATACGACGAAGTGATCCAACGTGAGTGAGAGTGAAGCTGGAATTGAGAGACTGAAGCCAAACACGTGTTCCCATGTCCAGTGTTTAGCCGCAGGGCTGGCCCTGGATGGGCGTCGTAGCTGTACTTTATTTTGTTTTGCTTTTGTCATGTTGGTGACCCAGGTCACTCATGCAAACAAGACTCATCTCGGTCTCTGGAGTTCCCCACCCGGTGGCACAAAATCAACTTGAAACTGGAGACTTAGTCAGCGTGACCCAACAACATTCTCCCCAATCCTTCCCCCACCTGTGCTGACCGAGCCAAGTTGACTGGGACTGCGATTCATCAAGACGGGACGTCGGGAGATTTAGACACTAGGGAAGTTGCAATGTTAAAACGTTTAGTTAAACATCATTTTCAAACTTGGTGAGCACGGTTGAGACACTGGGTTTGATTCTCGGCAATGCATTTAATGATGATCCCGCTGAGTGCTCCACGAATGGGTATTGAGCAGCCAAACATTTAACAAAGAAAAATGTGAGGTTAGACATTCATCAATCATCATCAGCAGCAGCCAAGTTCATTCCACTGCTGGATGAAGGCCTCCCCAGTCGCCGTCTGTCACGGTCCTGCGATGTAACAATCCAACCTAGCGCCTGCACACGATCTGAATTAATCAGGTGCCATGATCATTGCATAATTGTTCATTCGTGATCATTGCTCGTTTGTTCATCCACAGAGCTTGCAGAGGCACCATGCGAAAACTGTGGTGAGTGTTCGCACACCCCAAATGACACACAGGAGCTATGCGCACATCACAGCACGTTCATTCATTCTACACCCGATTCGTTCTGAACAAACTCCTGCAGAGCTAGTGATGCCACATCTTTTCATGTGCTGGATAAAAACAAAGATAAAAACTGCAACTCATCCTGCCCATCACCAGAGACTCTGCTGCGAGAGTTTCACCTTCCCAAATTGTACGTTGTCATCACGTTTGTCGCTGAAAGCCAGATAATGGCCTTGCCTTCCTGGTGCAAACTTAAACAGTCTCGTCCTTCTGTTATCATCTCTCTCCCAGCAAAAGTGATAAAAAAACCCCACTCACAAAGCCACACATGTAACCACAATGCCCACTCATCACCACACAAAAAGATCCCCTCTATCTATAGCCTTTAACAGACTTTTGGGGCAAGTGCTCTTCACGAACACCTATTCAGGCTGGCACGGTACACAAAGGGGTGAGCGATCAGCGGCACTGCACCAGTTACTCATTTAAGGCTGAGCAGTTCTATGGGAAGCCCGGGACCGGTTCATATATTTATTACAAATGTTGGCCGTGAGCAGGATAGTCCAACTTGGGTCACTGGGTTTGTAGTTCAGTGTCCTTACCACGACATACCACTGCCCATATGTAACAAAGACAAAGATCCTCAGTATAGCCTTAACAGATTTTTGGGGCAAGTGATGTTAGTGAGCACCCTATCAAGGCCGGCATGGTACACGAGGGGGTGGGTGGCCAGCGCCTTTAGCTCCCCAGTGGTGATGTTTACACATTGCACCAGGTTCTTATTTTAAGCTGAGTCGACCTTGGGGAGGTCCGGGACCAGTATAGATAATTTTCAACACTTGAACTCAGGCAGCCAGGTTAGTAGTGCAGCGCGCTAACCACTACACTACCACTCTCCATATGTAACAACATATACACACATACAGGCACGCACACACATAGACTAATCTGCTAATGATGTTGACGGTGATGTTTTTGTTGATGCAGGTAGGAAATCAGTGCCGGCAGTGAAATGTGGCACATGTGAACGGGTGGTCATCAAATGCTCCGCATGTAGTAAGAATACCATCTCATCACCAAACTACACCATACTGACACATCCCACATATGTCCCCACCACACTCATACACTACAACTATTCACATCACCTACCATAAACCACCACCAACATCCCATCATGCACTTTAGCTCTGACTGCCCAAACTCCATAAACACCACCCTTTTCCAGGTGTAATACCACACAAGGCAGCCACACGACACAAGCGTTTTATGTAACACACAAACCACATATCACACACAAACAACGCCACACACTTCACCACAAACACTGAATCACCACATTTACCCCCTTTACATATTTACATACAAACGCTGGTGGCCATTTTGTTTTTCAATGGAAATTTTAGTTTCTCTGGACATCAAGCAGTGGAACAAGAATGGTCGAAGCCAATTAACTGACTCTATTCATACTTTGAACTTGAAAGATCAGTACATATATAATCCTGTGGTACAAATTTGCCGAATTTAAATAAAATTACCCGGCAAATTGCTCAATTGTGATTAGACGTGTAGCAACCATCGCCCACAACTGCGAAAAAACTTGGCAGGACCCTCCTGAAAACGAGTCACCAGACTCAGTGAGGTTCATTTTGGTTTAACAAGTGTTGTAATAAATACTAATCTGAACATTTTGTTACGTATACTGTCGGTTAAAATGTCGCGATTAAGGCGAGCACAGAATGGCCTGCTGTTGCAACCACAGGATACCATTTTTTATTCCCTCTACGGGCCTCACTTATGTGATGTGGTATGCCATGACAATGTCGCAGTGTGTTGGCATGCTTTGATGCGGTGTGATGATGCATACTATGACATGTAGTCTTTTAGCATTGTACGACACGTTTTGCACTGCGGTGCGTTGGAACGCTTTGACGTGCCACGGTGCGGTGTGTTGTTAGGTTTCCTCAACAGGATCCTTGGCAACCCTGACCTCCTCCGGCTATTGGGATGCAGTATGCTCGTAGTCATCCTCATCTTCATCGTCACCATTCTAGGTAAGATAACAGGCCGGTAGGGCTACACATCACTGGGCCATGGTGCCCAGAGCTGCACCCTGTCTAATGCCTCGGAAACCTTGATGGATCAGTGCAACGGTGCTTGTCAGATATCGGCGGTCGGTGGTGAAATATTTGGTCAGCCTGTGGTGCCCCAAACAAGACACTTGTAGAGCATCCAACATAGAAACTTCCCAGATTCTTATCCTGAAAAAGACACGGGGAATGCACTTAACTATGTATTGTATAGCATGGATCTCTATGTGAGTTGCTTATTCTCTATGCGAGTCTATGCTTCTCTCTATGCTCTGTGTCAGTCAATTGGTCTAAATGTTAGTATACGCATCTCTAAAGGAATAATATACCAGAGCCAACTTAGGCTACAAAGAATTAATTATTTAATATCGATTTATGTGTGTTATATTTTAGATTTGTCATGTGACACATTGTTGTACTTTTAATTTATTTATTCGCAAAAGCATTTTTTTGTTGCTTTTGTACATGTTGGTGACCCAGGTCACTTTTGCAATTGAGAATTATACTGGTCTCTTTGAGTTCTCACCTGGTTAACAAATCAACTTGACTTGACTATGGCCGCTGGTACGAGTCCATGCGAGTCTGATGGTGACTGTAGTGATGTGCAGTCTATCGCATCGCCGCTCATTGCCCAACGCACACTTTTTTTCAGGATGTAAAAAAATGTCATCCATTTGGCGACTTCAGGTGCCATCACCTGGCTTTCCTAACTCAACACAGGCATTTATAACCCCTTATTCTCTGCTCTTAAAATGCCATAGGAAAGACGATGCAAGTGGTACTTTAGTGATACGATGTGTGTAATAATGTCTCATGCCGTAGAGAGGGGCGAGTGGTGACACGGTGCGCATGATGATGTGGTGCGTGTGCGTGTATCGCAGCGACTTCATTTAAGAAGGAGGAAGATCCACAGAGTGTTATGCTGAGGGAGGTATTGAGTCAGAAGGAGTTCAAACCAGCTCTCCAGACTCATTCCAAGAAGAAAAAGAAAAAAAGTAGTGGACATAAAGAACCCTCCTCTAAACACCACTCGCAAAACAAAAGTCCCAAAGCTGGCAAGACCAAACAAACCCCAGCTCACCCCACGACCCCTTAATCCCCCCCTCATAACCACTACCATTCCTGTTCCCATTCCAAAATCTCATTCCATTGCTACCACTCATTCTCCATTCATCACCATTTGCTGCTATCAATTTTGCTTTGAATTCACGCATCACAAACTCGTCAATTACTTCCTCTTGCCTATTTAATTTACCTCATCTCCACCATCACATCCATGTGTACCATTCTTTATTTTCTGTAAAGCGCCTCAGTTAAGGCGCAATATAAATGACGTTAACATAAGAAGCAAACTCCAAAACACCGCACGCAGCGATAGCCAACGCGAGCTTCACACTCAACCCAGCACTGAACCTACAGCCAGTCGAACACTACTCTCATGCGGCCGAGTGGGTGGAAGGGTCCTACTTGATGGAGGCCTGGCCTTTGAACCCCACATGGGAGACGGAGTGGAGCAGCAAGGACGTTCAGGGTGAACGCCTCGTTCGGGGACCGAGCGTCGTGCCTCCTGCCTTTGACATTCATCGGGGCCAACTGGCGTGCCACACGTCAAGTCATCGGACCGCTGTGGTCTGCGCTCCTTCGGCGGAGGAGTGGCTGGACTGCACATGCTCTCTCCTGGGGCCCTCTGCTGGGACCCTCTCCTGGGGCCCTCTCTTGGAGCCGGAAGACCTCAGCGTTGGCACTGCGATGCCAAGGCTGCTCGGGCGCCGAGTCGGGAGAGACATCACACGCACTAAACACACACCATCGCCTCGTCAAACACCTAGGAATCTTAAGAGCGTTGGCCCCGGTATCAGATCCCCTCCGCTGAGTTTTTCACCCCTAGCCTGCCTAGCGAGCAAAAATTGTCTGGGTTTTCTCAGGAGGGAAATTGCAAAAGATTTGATATGTAGGGAATGATACCGGCCGGATCCTATAATAAAAGGGGGATGAGGCAGGATGGGGCCACCCACCCAGTAGCCGAGCCGATGAAGGTTGTTGTGTAATGAGTAAGGAACACAACTTTGTGCCGATTAAAGGCGAAGGGAATGCAGGTCTGTTTGCATGAGTAATTAGAGCGTAATCAGACCTGAGCATGTATCTCTGGGCTTCAAGGCCGTAGCCATGGAGTCAACATTGGGGGGGACCAAATCTTCCAGAGGGTCTTGGGCCCCCCCCCCAGAAAAAAATCTAAATTTGAAAACTAGTTTCCTGACATTTACTGCCTAAAATCCAGATATTGTGGCCAATGTTTAGCAAATTGTTGTTTTTACATAACATAGCAATTATTTTTTTTAAAATATTGTTTAAAGCAATATATGGGGGGGGGGGACATTTTGAGCATATTTGAATATTGGGGGGGAGATAAGTCCCCCCCAATATATATTATGATTAAGGCCTTGCTGGGCTCGCGAACTGACTCGTCCTTCCACGTGACGGCTGCGAAGATACAGGCAGAGTGCGAGGCGTGAGCAGGTGCCGTAGCGTAAATACGTGGGAGATCTGTCCATTCCAATGTTGTGCCCTTCATGGGCGTCACTCCCGGAAACAGCGACTACTTTGTTAAGCCTGAATAAACTCGCATAACAGTATTATTCCTTGTGCGGGCTCGGTGTGCGAGTGTGCAGAAGCGTGCTTGTCGAAGTTTTGGGGAGTGGTAGTGTGGCGGTTAGCGCGTTACGTTACGAACCCAGCGACCCAAGTTCGTTTGGTAAACTACCCTGATTAAACTACCCCTATCCCTAAGATCGAAACGCCACCACCCGCCACAACCTATAACAAATCTTATAGATGCGTTAAAGAAAAAAGTTGGGAAATTACGATAATATGAATAATTTTGTATAAGTGGTATTTAGGGAGTAGAAATGGATGCGATTTGTCGCCAGGGGTGGATGATTGGCTGGATTGTCCGCAGGACAAGACGTCTGAGAAACGCTGCATCAGATTAGCACGGCTGGCTACGTACGGTGCGAAAGAAGTTCAACGCCCACGAGAGCAGTGATTCTTAACCTGGTGTGCACGCACCCCCTGGGGGTGTGAGATGCCCTTTTTTCGAAGGTAAATCGAAAAAACAAATTAAGCACGGGCACGTAAGTTACTACTTTGTTTCATCAAACCCTTTGTGTTCATTGACATTGTACCTTTTTTTTAAACGATTGCCAGTACCAAAGGGCTGGCAAGTCTGCTGGAACGGTTTAAAGCAGCGGTCCCCAACCTTTTTGGCACCAGGGACCGGTTTCGTGGAAGACACCGGGGGGGGGGGGGGGCATCATTGGGTCTTTCCTACCTTTTCAAAGAATCTCTCCAGCGACGTTTGTTTTGTACTCATTTTGGCTACTAGGGGTTAGCTTGTGGGCTTACCAACACTGTGACTGAGACAAGTGCGCAGTGCGGGAAAGAGGCGCGGACGGAAGTGGTAAATAATAAAATAATGGGGGCGGGCCACGCGCGGACTCACCGCTCACCTCCTGCTGTGCGGCCCGGTTCCTAACAGGCCACACGGACCAATCGGTCCGCGGCCCGGGGGTTGGGGACCCCTGGTTTAAAGAACCACACTGCGTTGAGAGGCTGTCGCTTGTAGCGCTGCCACGTGACCGGGGGTGGTGCAACTGAATTCCAGCGCTTCGATCCTCGCGAGGTCAAACGTCGACCGCCCCACCTTCCCCCACCCCACAAAAAGGCCAGCCGACGTCGCGAGCCGAGTCCCCCTATGCTACCCCGGCGCTCGCTAACAGAAGGCAAGAATATTATATTCTTAGCTCTTTCGGTAAAGTCACGTTGAAGGGAAACAATAAAGTAATAAAATATATATAAAACAATAAAAATTCTCAAGACGTTTCGACCATAACACAAACGTGACTTTACCGAAAGAGCTAAGAGTATGAATTACTGCAGTCACGAAAGCTTTAAATCAAAATTTAGAAGGCAAGAATATCAACTGTCGGATAATAAACAGCGCCACGGGTGCCCTCAATGCTAAACGCAGTACTGTATACCCGTTCCTAGTTTACATTTTTTTAGAAATAGAAATATAATTCAGGCGATTTTCGGAATCGGAATATTTACTTTAACACGTAAGCTTTCGCGACCAATATCATCCATAGTACAGGTTTGTTAGGTTAGATCGCGTAAATGTGTCGTTAAACCCACCACCAACCCCAACAGACAATTAGTAAGGTTTGTCACGTGAACAGAACGCGCCAATTCGTTTACGTGACAAACCTTACCAATTGGCTATGTCGGGTGGTGGTGGGTTTAACGACGCTCTTATATTTACGCGATCTAACCCAAAAAAAACCTGTATCATGGATCAGAATATGTATTTACGCTGGAGGAATGCGGTTAGTTATAAAGCTCTCTTCCCACAGATGTCCAGCTTTTATCAATCCGCTGCTGGCTGAGGGCCTCTCCACGTCACATTTGTCGCGGGGGGCTGTTATCTTGACCATACTTCACACACGCCTGCCACTGCCGATTGGTGAACTATAACAGCAACCCCACGTGTGGGCGAGAGCGAAGATTGAACAGACGAGGGGAGGGAGTAAAAAAAAAGGCGAGACAAGGCCAGCTCGTGTAAGGTGTCCGGTTCTGTGTTATAAAAGTCCATATTGCTTTATTGATACTTAAACACGAACACAAGCGCAACGATCAACAACAGTACACGGGTCACGCCGGATACAACGAGTCAACATCATCGGCACACGGGCAACCCCTGGGGTTCGGCGCCGTTCCCAGCAAGGGGTCATTTGGCCAGCAGTCCGTGGGTGTTCCAGTCAAGCTTCAAGTCCGCGGGTATTTCACTCGGTCGTTGAACACCACCAGCGTTAGATCGGTGAGCACACCTCTTTGTTTGAACGACTTAAAAGACGTGATTTGTTTTTGTTTCCGGGTGGAATTCCAGTCAAATATTTTTTTTGATCTGTGCATTCAACGCAGTCCGAATGTGTTTCATTCGAAAGGCCAAAAGGATAAATCCACACAAACCCCCCCCCCAACGACTTCGACCGAAATGTCCACAAGTCTTCGGACTCCGACTCAAAACGCTGACATGCCGACTAAAGTCGAACACAGGTTCCCACACACCGCTGGCCCTGCGCCCGTGAAGACACGGCACCCAGCAAACACACCGAGGACCCACCACCACCCCTAAAACCACCATGACAGTCTGAGCCCCCCCACCTCAACTCACCCCAAACAACATCGCTGCCCAAAAGCTGGGCCTCAGCACTTTTGACTCGTGGCTCCCCCCCACCCACCCACAACTGCCCCAGCCGACTACTTTGAAGCGTCTGCAATGATTCACGGGGCCCATTCGCGCATGGTTCTTCCCCGACCGATCGCGGACTCCCGTACACACAGCGCTTTTATACGTACAAACCGGAGGAACCACAACACGATTGACGCGAACGCGCTTGGGCTCGGCCGCTTAGGAACGCCACGCGCTCGCGGTAATAGTAGATACGTCGTCCCTGTTTACATATCACACGGTTATATATAGAGATGTATAATGCGTGTATTAGGCGTGTGTGTGTGTGTGTCGGTATATGTACGTGCGCGTGCATGCGCGCGCGTGTATATATTTTTTTGTATAGCGAGTTAACGACCAATTTTAACAACGTTAACACAACGGTACATGTAATAACAGCGTGGAACACCGGGGCAGCAGGGTGTAGTCACTACAGACAGACGAGAAAAGGTAAACTGGTCAACTGGGAAGAGACAATTCAACTGGAACGGGGGGGGGGGGGGCACTTTAAAAACCGTTCACCACATCGCTGCGCTTTTGCAAAAAAAATCAGATTATAGATATAAATGCTCGTCTCTCAAAAATTCAGCGAGGCCTACATGTGACATTTAATAGTTTATTTTCAGAGTGATTATACTCCAGCTCGCAAACGAGGCCAGTGCAGTTTTAATTTTATTTTAGATTTTGGCTCGGAGTGGATCCTGTGGAAAGCACACACACACATAGGCGAGTACCACATGACTCATCACGGCCGTTTTTCCCACTTATCAACACAGCCAGCCGTTTGCTGGCAGACTTAGCGATGTGGCTACGTGGATATTTATGTACGTTTTTTTTTCTCTTTCTGGATTGCATCTTCCGTTAAACCAGTGTTGTAGGTTGCATGTTTAAATCTAAAAAAATGTTTTTGCCACCTAACTGTTGTCTTGCAACACTGCTCCACCGCTGATGTCTTCCACTTGCCACAGTGAAGCTTGTGTGACGCTACCAAACTACCTCGCGTTACCATGTCGATAATGTAGTTTTTTTTTACAAAAAAAAGACCTCTTGGTAAGTCAACGTGCAGTCTCGTACACCACGGTGTGATTTCAGAATGTGAAAATTAAACAAAATGTGAAACGGTCTTAAGATGGGAACAGGAGATAAGGGACACCTTGTGTCGAGGGATGATGAACACGAGCCAGCCAAACCCAAGCCCTACCCGATGCAACTGGGGCGCCAAGGTAGCTACGAGATGTTAACTACCTCGCCTGATATACAGGAGGTCGTGGGTTTGATCGCGACCCTGATGCCTGCTGGATAGTTGGAGTTTGCACGTCTCTCTCCGTGGTCGGGTGGATTTTTCTACAGGTCCTGCTATACATTTCCACGTGAAAAGCCACTTCGTTGAGTTATCACTTGTGGCCAGGTCGCTTCTAAAAAAAGAGCTATATAGCTCAGTGGGCCTTACCTGGTAAAAAAAAATAGTTCATAGTTAGTTAACTGACAGCATGTGCTATATTAGCTGTTTCGATCGTAATGGTGCAATACGTCGATTGAACCCGCAGTTAAATAATCGTGAAGAAATCTTTATTCACACTGGACGTAGGCCCACAGTACAACACAAAGACAATAGATCAGAATGCAAAACAACTGCAGAGTTATGGGGAACACACATCTCACGATGACCGTCAACATCGTGAAATTTGATATCGTGTATATCGTGGAAATTGTCCACCGTGGAAACCTTTACTCGCGCAGCTCGTAGGCGGCTGGTCTCGTGGTAAAATCTCGGCGTGGGGAGGGGGGGGGGGGATCAGTGTGAGTGCGGCTGGGCTGATGGACTTTGGAGAGCTCCCTCCCCCCCGCTCTTTTAAACCTGAGATATGAGAACCGTGAGAAAACACATACCCATCGAACAAAAAAAACCCCTCCTATGGCGACCACGTGACTATTGCACTTGCCAAACGACACGTGGGCAGAAGCCGCGGATGTAATTACACGCACTCCCATTTTTAGAGCGTTTTACCGAGTGCCCCATTTAGATCCGGCAGATGTGATGTGCGAAATAACCTGTGAATTTCATAGCGACGTGACGATGAGAAGCCCTTTCTGGGCGACTCGCTGGCAGCGTTCAAGTCGCGGCGGCATTCAAGTCGCGACGGCGTCGCTGCGTGCGCGAATCCACGCACGCATTTATTCCAGAGAAGGGTCTCTCTCGAGCTCCTCCTCAAGGAGGAGGTCCCCTTCGGCCAGCAGTGGAGCGAGCCGGCAATTGCAGGGCTGCACCTTCGCCATAATCGACGTGTTGGTAACGCGTGCATGCCCCGGGTGTGGCGCTCGCAACTTTCGCGCGCTCACTTCTCCTAACGCTGGGCGCGCGACGACAACCTCCCGCGGCGCACCGGCCGGCCGGAGACAAACGCCCGCCTAAACCTTTGCCAGATGGGAATCCAAATGTAGACTCGCACCCACGTGGACGAGAGTCGCCGAGCCCTTGTGCCACGGTTCGCCAAGCCAGGTCAAACCCCTCCTACCCCCAACGCTCCCGAGAGATCGGTTGCACGACACTCAAAAAAAATCGCTTATGCGCGGACGGTCTCCGCGACCCGTTGCGAGCAATCGCCCGAAAACAGTCGCTCGCGCCGCGGAGAGAGAGAGGGGCTCTGCGCGTCCACGCCATTCATCTGCTCCACGATTTGCGGCGGCGTGCGAGGTCGAGCGCCGGGGCGTATTGGGCGAGCCGCGCGACTGGCCGCCAACGATCCTGAACACATTATGAGACCTCCTTTGCCAGTAGCAAGATATAGTCATAGGTGTTTACCCTTTTATCTGGCAACAAAACTGACAACTTTATACAAGGGATCATGTTTGCATTAACCACAACACTTGCGGTCAAAATGCAAACAAAAAGACAACTCTGATCATGTATGCACTGTCCTTTAAATTTCAAGGGCAGTGCATACATTATCAGTTACCCCGAGCTCTCAAGGAGGTCTCAATGTAAATGCTTACCCCGAGCTCTCAATACTCTGATGGTGCGTTGTCTTTGAGTTGTGCGCCTTTTGGCGTCATCTGGTCCAACACCATGTGCGACTAGGCTCTAAGAAAAGCCGTCTCGGGTGTGGACCAATCAATTTCAAGGACAGTGCCAATACATTATCAGAGTTGTCTTTTTGTTTGCATTTTGGCCGCAAGTGTTGTGGTTAATGCAAACATGATCCCTTGTATAAAGGTGTCAGTTTTGTTGCCAGATAAAAAGGGTAAAAACCTATTACTAGATCCTGAACACGCCGTTCCGTTTCCTCTGTAAACCGCAACTGCTCGCTCCGGATGTGGACAAAGCAGTTGCAGGCTGTGACTAAGCCGCGCGATTTGTCGAGGGACCTGCACACCTGGGCATGACCGCACCGGCACGGCAATGGCTCAAGAGGACGGAGTGGGGCGTTTGGTCTGGGGCGGCAAATGCGTGCAATTTATTTCGCCCGTCAAAACTCCTGCGTGTAAAACAACAACAAAAAACCCCGAAAAGTTCTCCCCCCTTTGAACGCGTGGGCCCACACACGTGGCTCGCGTCACCGAAGCGTTGATGTCACCGCCTGCAAGGATGGAACACGCACGAGGAACCTTTCAAGCCCGTTCCAAAAGGCAAGGGGGGGGCGCTCTCATTCCAGTCACGCCAAGCCGTGCTGCGTTTTTTTGTAAATGTGTCTGGATATATACAAACCGGTCTGTTCTTATGGATACCGTTAGGCTGTTTTGTGCTTAAAGAGGCGTACGCTACATTGTTTAAATAACCCAGCGTGAATACCGGCAAGCGCCTTCAAGGAGTTGGGGGCGCCTGTGTGTTTAACGGGTGAGAGCTCGTGGAATTAATCAACCTGCCATGGTGTTGCAAGCGGCCGAGCGGGGGCACGCGCGTCTTTTGCCCGGGCGGCCACCTCTGTCTAATACTGCCGGGTGTGTCAATCAAATATACGCCACCCCCCCCCACACACCAACCCCCGTCTGCTTCACAGTTTATTGTTTTCGCACGACAGCAGCGGGCCACGCGAGCGATTCGGCGTCGCGGTGCGCACTAGAAAACGCCTCGCAATTATTAGCGCCGAGCTGGGTGAAAGTCACCGGCGCCCGCCGCCACTTCGACCGTGAAGAAGCTCGGCAGGCCCTTCCCGCGCTCGCCTTGCGCTCGGAGCGCGCGGCGCCCGACACCCAAACGCGCTCACGACCCGAGCCGATGATGCGGCCACGCGCGCCGCGGCGGGTGAAGTCGTCAGCGGCTGCCGCGCTGCGTCGATGTTAACCCCCCCCCGCCCCCTGCCCCTCCGTCTCTCTCCAACGGTGTCTACGCGCTCCAGCCCAACGCCACCCCAAGCACACCACTTGATCCTGCCACCGTCACGCGCGTTACGTTTACGGGGGTGGGCGCCAGTGTACAGGATTGCTGGGTTGATGCGTTTTTTTCAGGTTGCGTATCACGTACTGTTCAGCACTGGTGTCCGTTTCTTTTGGCTCCCACGTGTCTGGGAGCTTCTTTAGGACCACGAAACAACAACAACAACAACAAAACGAGGGTTCAGTTCAACGTTCGATTGAACGTTCAATCTTCGTGCCGAACAGCATGGCGCACGGTAACCCACCGGCAGCAAAAAAAAAAACCGCATCAACCCGCGAGAAACTCCGCGGTCCGAGTGTGTTGAACGAACGCACAAATAGTGCGCTTCACGGGGTGTGCCACACCCGTGCAGAAGACAAATCCGCCGGGGGGGGGGGGGGACCAATCGATTTGACGGACACCGCAAGGGCCCACGATGGGACCCCAGGCATGGCTGCTGTGAGGCCGCGTTGCCAAAAATATTCCCCGGCGCTCCCAAGCGCCCACAAAAACTCCGGAATGACATTAAACGCTTCTATCTCGCCTTGGCGACACTTCGGGACGGGCCGGCGAGCGCGTGCGCGAGTGCCGTCGCAAGCATTGGGCAATAGACTATAGTTCAATATATATATGCGTTATGTACATCATAAATAAAACAGTGTACAGTGTAAACAAACCAACACAGCACATATAACTGGAAAACACGTATTATTGCAAAATTGTTAACCTTCGAAGGTAGACGTTATCCCTGGGTGTATGATTCATTCATTTATTATATTATTGTGTGTTTTTATAGCGTATCTACTAAGCAGCACGTTGCACGCCTGTCACGGGCACGCAAACGGACGTAGCAAGGTGGGGGGGGGGGGGGGGTGCCCCACTCTCGTGATTCTCTCTCGCACCGGGTCGTGGTACGGGAGGGGGGGGGGCAGCACGCGTTCCCACCAATCACAGATGAGCATTCGGTCAACGGCATCACAACCGCCCTCCCCCCCCGCATCCACCACCAACCGCCCAGCCTTGGACCCGGTCGGTAGCACAGCTATCGAGCAGGCGGCTTCAACCACACCGAGGTGACAAGGGGAGGGGGGGGGGGGCAGCCTAATTTCATCCCCTGCACTTGGGCCACGCCAGCCACGCTAAGCCACTGCTTGTACCCACTAGGCCCCCCCACATCTACATTTACAGGCTGCCGACACCCCCCATCCCGTGCTCTCTTGCTCGAGGAGCACCTCTGGAGGCGAACGCGCCACTGAACTTTGCCGCAACGCCGACCGTTCCGGCTTGAAGATCTTGGCGAACGGGGTTCACCAAATTCATTCGGTGACAGAGCACGACACGGTTTATTTTCGGCTCCGGGACGTTGAAGGGGGGGGGGGGGGCGAGAGCCACCCGCTCGACACGCAACGCTCCATCCTCCTCCAGCGGCGAGGCCATCGTCACGATGAGCGACGGCCGCGAATCCGTGAGAGAGGACGGATTCGTTCCTCTCGTCTCGTCCCGCTTTCACCGCCCTAGTTCCTGCCGCTCAACGGTTGTTTTAGTCTCTCCTGTAAAGCCTCAATCGCACGGGGCCTTCTTCACCCCGCGACGAACCGAAACGTCGCCCCCACCCCCCAACCCCGAGCACTCTTCACGACGTACAATTTGCATAACCGCCGATTCTCGGGCTGCGCAGTTCCACAAGCACGGATCCACGGAAGTTGCATCGCGCGTGGCAAGAGGTGGATTTTAACTGACGAATCGGTGGCGCGAGTCTGCCGTTAACCCCTCCAGGAGCATGCGTTGTGTGGGTGTCGCTCTCTCTCTACCTGGTGTGCAGTTTGTAAATGGGATATGCGTGACCTGGGGTTATCAACCCGTCTGTGTGTGTGTGTGCGCGTGGTGTTTGTGCGAATGTCTGCCCCAGTGTTCAAACGCGGCAAATGAAGACAAGACTGCACACGTTCCATCGCTTCTGTGAATCTGCGGAGAGATTCCGAACCCAACAATATTTCTGATAAACAGGGGCCCCCCGTGTACCAAGAGAACCAATGATTGACTTTTCTACAATATACAGTGTATATATATATCACTGCAGTGAACTTCCAACCACACTGCAAATAAAAAGTCGTCCGTAAAAATGTATTATATTATCACTATATCATTACATTACTCGTATTCATTATATTTATTTTCATTTGTACAGTAGTGCCATTTAAAACGATAACCTTCTCGTGGAGACGCTGCCCACTTCTGCCAGAAGAAAAAAAAAAAACGAAATTCTCCTTCAATGCCCAGGGAGGATTCGGGCCCAGCCACGCAAAAATAAAAAAAAACACTTGTTGCAGCGAGCACTCTGGGCCCTTTCCGAACGCGACGGATTCTCCGGCGTCATGGCGGCGACTGCCGCGGGAGAGGGGAATGCTCGCGGACGAGCGGAGAGGATGGGTCTGGTCGGGGTACGGCCGCTCACGGAGGGGGTTTTAGTCGGGGCCGATAGGAAAACGTCTAATCGTCCACACGCGTAATCTCCGACGCCGTTTCTCGACGCGGGTTTTACGCGGGGCATTACTTTGGAACCGAGACGACAACCGGTCGTGCCCACAGGCCGACGTATGTAGCCGAATCGGGCCCTCCCCCATAGCCAACAGCGCCGATCGCTCGCACGGCGGATGGAATCATCGCGGCGGAATCCACTACAAGGATTTGAACTTGCGGGGGAGGAGGGGGGGGGGGGCGGCTTAAACATGCCTCTCTCAGCAAGCGCCTCGCAATCACACCTCAACTCAACCGTTCCAATGCCCTCCTGTAGCCTGGCCAAGGCGACCACCCCCCCAGTGGCAGCCGCCCCTGTGCAGCAGCACATGGTTCCAACGGGAATATTTCCGCTCGGCGGGCGCCATTCCCGCCGAGGGGTTCCTGGACACTGGAGCAAAGCTCCGCCGTCCACGACGCGGAGGTTTTGCCGACCGGCCTCTTTTAAAACGCTCTCTCACTGGCATTTTTCAATTTTCGCTGGGGGGCCGTTTTGTTTCGGGGGCCAACGGCGGGGATCGGTCGGCCAGCACCGGCGCCCAGACGTCACGACGTGCCGCCGTGAGCACTAGCGGCGGACAAAAGCGAGAGCAGGCGTGCCGGCAGACGCACGGTTCTGCTCCGTACACCAGCGCGCACACGCGCGTGTATGCAGTACACACGCGCTCGCAGGAGCGTATACACACGCGTACACGCGCACGCGCGCGTCGATATAATTAACACTTCATTTTACACAGAAACTCCCTTTGTCGCTCGAACACACCTTTTCCGGTTTCCGTTTGGTTTTAAATCTTTTCCTTGTTTTAACATTTTTTGTTTGTTATTTTACATATTTGGAGAAGTCAAGTTATTGAATGCCATAGTTTTTTTTTCTATATATATGCATGGCTCAGTATTATATAAACGATTGCTAAAAACACAAAACGAAAACACTTAGAACATTTATAGTGCGTGTTTCATGGCCGGGCAACCATACTCATCAAGCACGGAGGACGGGAAGTGGTGGCACTCATTGCCAGGACACCGGGATTGACGCGCGCCACGGGACCCCTCACGTTACACAAAGATCCCCCGCGTAGCCTTGACACACTTTTGGGGCAAGTGCTGTTCGCGAGCACCTACGAAGGCCGGCACGGCACACGAGGGGGATGGGTGGCCAGCACCACGCCCGGCCGCCTTTGCCTCCCCGGCAGCGATGTTTTTACACACCGCGCCAGTTACTCGTTTGAGGCCGGGTGGACCTAGAGGAGGCCCAGAACAGAGTTCAGATAAAATCGTCAATTGGTGTCGGCCTTGAGCGGGAATCGAACTCGAGTCGCCGGGCTCGTAGCGCTGCTGCGCTAAACTGCTGCTCGGGCTTAGCGCCTTCCCTTGCGCGCGTGCGCTCACAGCAGCGAGCAAAATCAGCCGACCAATTTATCTCGTGGGGGGAGGGACGGCCTGTAAAGAGCAGGCCCCTCTAAGAGTCAAGCCCCGAAATCACCGTTGCAATAAGGTATTCGAATAATTACAGCCCTTTGTGTCAACTCGCCGCTCGGCGGCGGGAGGTTGTCTTAATCGTCGCTTCACCGTCCCGCTGAACCGGTGCGGCTTGGTGGAGGAGGGTGCGGTGCGGGGGAGAGGGGGGGGCCGGAGCCTAAGACCGGTTCGGATATCGCCGTGGCCGGGAATCAAACTCCGGGGGGTCGCCGGGGGTTGGCTGAGAACGCAGGGCGCTAAGCACTGCACGGCCGCCACCGCCGCTCGGCCACTCATTCGCTACACCCCCTCCCCCCCTCTACCCCCCGCCGGCAACTCCTGGGTCCTTTGCTGCCACAACGACCGAGCTGTCCGCGTGCGTCGCTCAAGCGAGGGACGCGGAGAGCTGGGCCCAGGAGGAGCAGAGCTCCAGCAAGGGCTGGAGAGAGGAGGCGGCGGGGGGCGGGGGGCAGTGGGGTTCCCTTCGAATGTTTCGCATGAGGCGTGATATAATGCGCCATCGAGTTGCCGGGGCAATTTAAGCGACGCCACATCACGAATGCACAGGTCAGTATGTTCAAGGGAACGGTGTGCGCGTGTTGCAGGCTTGCGGGTGAGCGCACTTGCGGGCGGATGGGTGCCCGCGCCGTGCCGGTTATTTGACCGTACTGAAACCACCCCGGCGATTGCGGCTTTTGGCAAAAGGCGGCGGGGGGGAGCGCAGACGCGGAAGAACAACGGACGACAACGGACCCCGCCGCACGGGCCGCAGCGTGCGCCCCCCCCCCCCAACCCCCCCTTTCTACTTGGGCATTAGGGAGACACGCAACTCTTTGCAAGAGACGGAGACGACGGAACGGGAGGCGAAAACGGAGAGCGAAGCGACATTTGACGCCGATGGCACGCTCCAGGGTAGGGCTTTGCGAACAGAACGTCAGAAAAAGCCTCACGGCGGCCGCTTTTTGGGGGAAGGCGTCTCAAAGTTCTAGTCGGAGCGCCGGAGGAGGAGGCGGAAGAGAAAAAAGCTCACGTTGTATTGCTCCCGAGAATGATTACACAGAGGGGATCTCTCCGCAGAGCCGCAGGCTGTACGCCGAACACCTTCCGCGCCGTACCTAACCAACCGTCGGAGGTGCGGGAGCCCGACCTTCCCCCCCCAGGGGCGAGACGGCCCACCCAGCTCACGTAACGATAGTCACGCCGTGCGGCGCCAGTAATCTCAGTTAGTCGCATGGCACCTGGCTGCGTCCTGTGATCTCCGGCCAGCGGGCGTTCCGACACTTCACCTAAAATGCACACAGCCTGGCACGAGCACCGCGGCGACCGCCACTTCGTAGCGAACGCCGGCGGCCGTGGTTGTCGCCGTTGCTGCTGTGCGCACGGCGACGTGGGCAGTGGAAGACAAAACCAATGACCCCTTGGCCCGCGTCCCGGTGCCGCCACCCTCCACGAACCGACCCCCCCCGTCAAGCCCCTCCACCCCCCCTCCCCACCACTTAACTCGCACAGCCCGCGGCAGCACGAGAACTTCCCACTCACCCCGGGCGACGAAAGTCGGTGGCCGAGCGCTCGCGGTTCCACTCGGCGTTCTTTCCGGACAGCGCCGGGGGGAGACTGCTGCACGTTAACCGCGCGGGGCTCACTGCTGGTGGCATCCGAGTCCGATTCGGGGGGCCCCGCGAGAACGAAAACGGTTCACCCCTCCACCTCTAGCGTACGACCACGCTACCCGCCCACCCCCCTTCGTCTTCAACACGGACGTTCAGACGAACATTAGGCGACACGAATTGCATTTGTGAGTAAGAGTTTTTTTGCGACCAGTCGAAGACCCCTCGGGGTCCCCCCTCCTCCCCGCCCGCCCCCGCCGGGCCCCGTGTACACCGTGCGGAAGCAGCCAAAATCGGGCTACGGACACGCGCGTGATCACCACGCCAATTGGGGACCCCCCCACTAACCCCTCCTCCTCCTGCTCCCCTCACCCACCCAGCGCCACCCCCACGACGCATTCCAATTAATAAAATGTACCCGCCACGCGGAGCGAGCGAGGAGCGCTGGCGACAACCCACGCTTGCTGGGGTGGCGGTGGGAACGCCGCGGGAAGTCGGCCGGGGCGATGCTCTCCCCGCGAACTCCTCGCGGCCGCTGCCCTCGGCCGCCAGCGCCGACCGCGGCGAGGTTCCGGCTCGCTCCGACCCAACGCTCCTCTCCTCCCACCGCCATCACCGGAGAGCGGGGGGTGGGGGCGGCTGGCAGCATCTCGCTGTTAGCCTGACAACATCAATTTGCTTTCCCAGCTGCGGCTTGCATGACCCGACTGTGCTCCCCTCTCTCCCCAAAACATGGTGGAAGGTCGATGGGGGGGGGGGGGTGTTCGGCAAGGGGTGCGGGCGTAGAGGGAAACAGCGGGCACGTTGCCGGCAACAACGTCGCAACCATCGTCACCACCGCGGTAGCGGCCGCCGCACGGTGGCCGCCTCGGCCTCCACAAAAGTTCTCGTCTCATCGCTCCAGTTTTGTGGTGGGTGGGGGGGGGAGTGGGGAGGTGGGACGTGGTGTGGGTGGCGGTGTGGTGGGGGCTGGGGGCTGGGGGGGGGGGGGGTCGAACATCGTCGCGGTTGCGTGCGCCGGGCAGCTCGTGAAGGAAACGCCGCCATCCCATTCAGATCTTGGCCTCGAGCATCTCCAGGAAAAGTTTGTGCATGGGCACCTTCCCCTCCAGCTTGACCGAGTAGAAGAACTGCACGGCGCGCGTGGCCGTCTGCCGGAGGAGCGGCAGCGTCATGAGCAGCTTGCCGGCGCGGCGCGGCTCGTCGGCGTGCTGGCTCGCGCCGTGCTCCTGCAGGGCCTCGTGCAGGCCGTCCTGCAGGCGCTGCACCGCACCGCCGTCCTCTATGTGCATCGAGTCTGCGCGCATCACGACGAACGGGCGGGCCAGCGGCGGCGACCAAGGGGTTAGCGGGGTGCGGTCGTGGCACGCGGCAAAGGGGAGGGGGGGGGGGGAGGAGGTTGGGGCGGGGAGTTGGGAGGGGCGGCCGCAGCACGGAATGAACGCGTCGACTGGAGAATCGCGACGGTCTGTCGCGTCTCTTATAGTCACAGTGGCTAGGAGATGTTAACTACCTCGCCTGGTATACAGGAGGTTCGTGGGTTCGATCCCGACCCTGACGCCTGCTGCTGTATATTTGGAGTTTGCGTGTATCGCTCTCTCATAGTCACAGTGGCTAGGAGATGTTAACTATCTCGCCTGGTATACAGGAGGTTCGTGGGTTCGATCCCGACCCTGACACCTGCTGCTGTATATTTGGAGTTTGCATGTCTCTCGCCCCGTGGTTGTGCGGATTTTTCCCCCGGCTCCTCTGGATTTTCCCTCCACATTTAGAATCAATGCCATGCGTTTTCAGTATTTGGCTGCTAAACATTTCCACGTGATAAGCCGCTTTGTTGAGCAATCAGAGACGTGCATCGTTACACGTCTCATCAGCACTGAATCTCGTGCTCAATTGATCACGAACAGGCTGGTTACTTTAGCAGCGCGTCCGTGTAACTTCCTACACACACTTAAGTCACGGGAGAGCCTCCAAGAGAGATCGCACTCTTCAACTGCCAACATCCGGAACTCAAAGTAAGTGCAAGTGTCATGTAAACTACTGCACAATAATCTCTGCAAACTAAACGTTCTAATTTTTTGTCAAGTAACGTTGCAATCCACGCGAGTGCGATTCCGGGAAGAATCGCGGAGGCAAATGCGACGCGGGCCCCCCCCGCTACTTTTGAGTTGTTTTTCATGCCAGATTTTGCCACTAGATGGCAGATGTATCACGTGATCATTTACCGCAGGAGGAAGTTTGCAACGTGGTGGAGTCGGTGACAACTAAGAACCGTTGCCATCGTTTACGCGTGGCTTTGAACGAACGGCCCTATAATTCGAGACGCGAGCACGTTTCTGCACGGCGATTCGACTGGCAGGCCAGCTCGTGCGTCAACTCGAGCCAATAAAACAGTACGCACAATCGACACGAGGTACAAGAACAACGGGCTTGCATAATGACGTAGGTTGAGTACCATATAAATATCTATAAGAGGTTGAGTTAGATCGCGTAAATATATAAAAATGCGTCGTTAAAATCCGCCACCACCCGACACAGCCAACTAGTAAGGGTTGTCACGTAAATAGAACGTGCCCAATTCGTCACTAGTACAGCACACCGGCGTGTTGTTGTGGACTTGCCCCCCAGTTTTGGGAGGGGAGATTCCTGGCGGCGCGCGGCGACCTCGCCTTGCCAGATTCAGGCGCAGAAATGCGTCTTGCAGGCGCGTAAATAAATGTAGCGCGAGGGCGAGCGGTCAGGCCGTCCCCCTCCCTGCTCCCCCCCTGCCCCCGCGTATCCCTCTGGAAGAGGCCGGGGAAGATGCACCAGAGTGGATTTCGCTGGTTGAGTTTCAAAATGAGGGGCTGCTTTCCCTGGTGCCAAGCAAGGCACCCCCCCCCCCATTCCCGCTTTAACAGCCCTCATCAGTCCTCCTCGCCGCCGCAAATCCGCTCGCCGGCACTCAAAGCAGCGCGCGTTCGCCCGTGCGCGTGCGTGCAGCGCCCATAATTACATTTCCCCATCACATCCAGGAGGGCTCGCTGAATTCAATTACTTAACTACCAACCAAACGACTGCAAAAATTAACCACCCGAGTGGAAATGCTCGCGGGAAGTGGCCCCGCAGCCACTCGACGGGCGAGCAGGAAAATTGGCTTGCGGGTTTGTTGTTTTTGTTGTTGCTGCTGCTGCTGTCCCCAACCACCCTCCTTCCTCTCTCCCATTTCACTCGCCGCCAAAGCTCCAGAGGGGTGCCTGCGACTCAAACCGTGAGCGACGGCGGGGGGAATTCGCACCCCTAAGTGAGCGCGCGGGAGGGGGGGGGGGGGGGTCCTCGATCGCGGAAGAGATGCAGTCGGCTCATTCTCTCGGTGAGCCGCCGGTCGAAACGTCGGGGTGACGGCGGGAGATGCAAAGAGCAGAATAAAGCCGGTAAAAAAGAAGGTGACTAAATAAGCTCCCGCGCGAGAGCGATTGCCCCCGGTTCCCGCCCGCCCGCCCGCCCGCACAGATTTTCCGTTTAGGGTCCCCAATTCGACGGTGGTGGTGGCGGCCGCGAGCGAGGGGGCGGCATCCGTCACCGTTAGTTTTACGCGGCCTCCTAAACGGTCGTCCGCAGTCGGTGCAAAATCGGTGTCCGCCCCTGGGGGCGATGGAAAATTGGGGCAGATCCCATTAACGAGCTCCCGTCAACAACCCCCCCCCCCCAACCCACCGCCGCCGCCCCCCCCCCTCTTTACTCCCGAAGCGCTCTTCTCTACCCCTACCTCGCAGAGCCACTGCCCACCCCCCACCGCCGTCCCGACCCACTCCACGCGCACCGCGGGGCAAGCACGGGCTGTTGCGCGCTAACGGGGTGGGGGGGCGGCATTGGCAAGTGGAGTGGCCAAACTGCGCCATCGACCGGTGCAGCCGGAGGCCAGCAAAGCTCAGTGGCAGGGAAGACGAGAAGCCCTCTGCTGCTGCTGCTGCTGCTGCTGATGCGTGCGCATGCGTTCGTTCACACGCGCGCACGCGAGTGTGTGTGTGTGTCACTGTATGTGTACGTGTTTGTTGAACTGGTGTTCGCCAACAGCACTTGCCCCAACAGTCTGTTCACGCTAAAAAGGGGAGATCTTTTTTTTTTGCATGTTTCGCTTCTTTCGCACCGTACGTAGCCAACTGTGCTAAATCGGAGGTGCGGTGGAAGCACAACAAAGCAAACACAAAAATCAAGGGTGTGCCGCCCAATGCCTCTCATCGACGGCGCTGATGTTGCGAGTGGAGGCCGCGGGCGGGGGGGGGGGCATGCACGCAGCCCGCTCGCAGCTGGGGGCGTACGTGGGCCGCGAGCAGGGGTGAGACGCAGTCGCGCGAGCCGCGCTGGTGGTATTGCTGTCAAGCCGATGGGTGCGATCCAGAGCGATTCTAACAGCCGTGGCGAACACCACAGCTGTTAGAATCGCCGCGTCAGGCTTGGGGGGTTGTCCGACCATCATCTGCCACGCTGGTCGGTGCGGATTTGATGAGCGGGGCGGGGAGGGGGGGGGGGGGCCCGGTTATCAGACGCCAACTCGTCACCAATGTTGGCGGTGGCGGAGAGCCGCACCGAGGGGGACGGGTTCGTGGCCGCGGTGCGTTAACCGCTGTGCCCGCGGGTCGGCTCGGACACGAAGGGGTAGACACGAGTCGACGTTAAAAGCACGTGTTGTTTGGGCAACCAAACGACCGAGGCCAAGCTTGAACTAGGACTGGAATTAGGGCGAGAGTGGCATTTGGAGGTTACGATTAGACTCGAAGTCTCTGCAGCCTTGATTAAAATCCATGCGTCAACTTTAATGGGGTGTGACTGCGTTGCGTCACTTGCACCACCTTCGCCAAATCCACGCCGATGAGGTTAGAAGTGGAGAACTGATCGCAGGCGCTATCGTGACTGGCATTAGCGTGACGACTGCGATTCACAAGTACTTTAGTGCCGGAACTAATTGCAGTTGCTATGGTACGTACGTACGTATGTCAAACCTCTTTCGCACCGTACGTAGCTAACAGTGCTAAATCGGATGCGCGGGGGAAAGACAACAAACTAAACCCAAAAAGTAGTTCTAAAGAAATTAGTTTTCAATCTCAATTTAAAAGTGCACACCTCAAGTGGCGTGAAGACTGCAACTCACTCTCCTGTTTGATTTGTACTAGGTGCCTCTGTGGATGTGGAGGCTTTGACTTAAACATAGCTATTTCTACGACCAGTCACAAGCTAATCACTCAGCTATTTCAATGCTAAATTCTCCTGTTTGATATGTAAACACCTTTGTCAAGGTGCCTCACTTCTCTAAACCAGCTCAAAAGACGCTACGAATCTTAAGAGCGTTCATTGAAGCTCTGTCGTCCCGACAGGTTTGCTCCTTTCACCTGAAGAAGGCCACTTGTGTTGTGGCCGAAACGTCGTGATAATTTTATCGTGTAATTTTATTTTATGAATGTATTATTTTATTCTCATTCTACGTGACTTTACCGAAAGAACCAAAGAAGATGAATCCTTGCAGTCACGAAAGCTTTAAATCGAAACTCACAAGTACTTGAGTACCAAGAACCAACAGTGGCCGGGCATTGGCATGCAGCCTGCGATTGACAAGTACTTGAGCAGCGGAACCAACTGCGACCAGGCACTGGCGTGCGGTCTTGGACTGGCCGTCACCAGGTTCCTGGGATCCTGGGGCGGTGGCGGTGGCGGGGGGGGGGGGCGTGTACCCGAGTTGGCGAGCGCGATGGCCTTGAGCGTGACGAACTCCTCGCGGTCGAGCGCCAGGCTCTTGTACTTGCGCACGAGCTGCAGGATGGTGGAGTTGAGGTCGAGGAGGCCGGCGACTCGCGACGACTCCTCGTCCATCACGTAGTCGTCAGCCCACACGAGCTCGTCGTCGCACGGCAGCGAGCGGAACACGACGCCCAGCAGCAGCACCTCCATCCACGCGCTCTGCAGCAGCGACATCTGGTCGCCCAGCGAGAGCACCGAGAAGCCTGGCGACGAAGGGGGCACGGGGCACGGGGGTGGGGGTGGCGACGCGTGTCAACGGTGGCGTTCGCAAACCGGAATCTGTGTTCGGTCCCCGGAGGAATCCGATGAGCCATGAAGCTCTTCTTCACAGATGTCCAGGAGGGGCACAGATTCAGCGGGGTGTTAACTCCCTCACCTCGTTTGCAGGAGGTCGTCAGTTCGATCCCGACCTTGACGCCTGCTGTGTATATTTGGATCCTCCGGGTTTTTCCCCTCCACATTTAGAATCAACAAGCGTTTACAGAATTTGGCTGCTGCTATAAATTTCAACATAAGCCACTTCGTCGAGCGAGCATTTCCCGCACCTCCGATTAGCACGGTTGGCTATGTACGGTGCGAAAGAAGTTGCACATGCAAGCGTACGCGTTCACACGTCACCACCCCCTGCGGCCACTAGAGGCCGCTACGTTCAGCACTGTCACGAATGAAAGCGACTCTCAGGCTAAACGGTGAAGTCGTTTTTTTAAAATGGATTGTTTGCACTGCGTGATGTAAAGGTATCTAGTTTCATTATCGTCGTCGTCGTCGTCATCCTTAATGTTCGCATGCGCTACATCTCAAGGCGCCCTGCTAGGAGGGGCACCCCCGGTGGCAGCTGTCCCTGTGCGGCACAACGAAGGGAGCGGCACCTGGCCCGCGTGCGAGCGTCGCCCTTGCCGGCAGGGCGTGATGGTTGCCTCCAAATGAACAGTGACCTGCGAGCCATTCATCACATCGGGATCGCGACGTCGGCACGGGAGAACGTCGCGGGAACTTTAGCGTCCACCGTGAAGGTGACGGTGCGGGGGCATTTGTTGTGGCGAATGCATCCGCAGCGTTAACCAGGGCGGCTCCCGCTGGTCTGGAAGAAACGAGCCCCCAGAAAAAAAAAATCGGCAAACGCGGTAACCCGCTGCGGCTGCACACAGTCTCTCTCGTCGATAACCAACCGGTGCGGTGGAGCGAGCACCTTTTAGGGCGACGGTGAATCTGGCCCGTGAGCAGACCTCTGCGACGGTGAATCGTCTATTTCGCTGGTTTCATTCAATCGCCCGGGCGCAGCGGCAGTTGAAGCAACGTGCTCGTAATCTCAAACTCCAACCCCCACCCCCCCCCCCGCCCTTTAGGATATCTGGGCAGCGCGGAGGAGTAGGCCAAATACCATCGATGTATTGCTTCCTCCATTGGAGGTCCTTCCATCATTAGTGAGCGTGGACAACAACTCAACTTGCAGGGCTGCACCTTTATCCCTCTATCTTACAAACGGATCTCTCCTCTTGGGCGCCAATGCCATCGCGGCCACGTTAACACGAGAAGACAGAAGGCTGCCAAACAATGGCACAGACCTCTGCGCGTGTGTGTGTGTGTTTGCGCGCGCCAGTACCGTCCCACTTGTTACACTAATTAAACGCAATAATCAGGCGGGAACCGAGGGCGAGCAGCAGAGTGGGTAGTGTGGTGGGGGGGGGGGTGGTGCCTCAGGGTGATGGCTATCGGGCGCACACAGCTCGCTCCCAGCGGCGGCGGTGGCGGCAGTGTGTCCAATTTATCTTATCGTGCTGATTAATAGAACGGGGCTGTTCCGAATGCATTAATTACCAGATACAAATCTCCATTCACGGCGCCGCGCGGATCGATCCGCCGACACCTCAGCGGCGACGGAGCGACCGCCGCCCCCCCCCCCCCATCTCCCACCCACCCACCCCCCCCAACCACACCCACCCCACCCCCGTCACCCCCCCACCGTCACCCTTCGCCACCCCCGGCGGGGGGCGGTGGCGTGAGAGTCCCGCCACGCCTCTCGCGCCGCTCCCTCAGCCTGGCCAGCCAGCCAAGCGGCCGATTTCACGGGACGACGTCGCTCTCCGCTCCTGACAACCTTCAACGGCGCCGTTCGGGGGTGGGGGGGTGAGGGGTGGGACGGAGGCCTTTTCTCAACTGTATCAACCCGTGAGAGGAAGCAAAGGAGAAACAAGCAAACACAAAACCCGAAGACCTCTTCTCACCCGGTACGTGCTTGGCCCAGCCGATGATGACGACGAGCTCGCGGTCGGCGAGGTCGCACAGCGTCGTGAGGGCCTTCACCTCTCCCTCGGGAACGGCCGGGTCAGGCATCGCAAACATCTTCTCGGGCTCGGCCACCAGCAGGTGCGAGATGATCTTGTTCACTGGCGGGAGAGGAATCGCAAGGCGGCGAATATGTCACCCCTCGAGCCAGACCGTGGTGGGGCGGCAGCGGCCGGGCGGGGGGGCGAGTGTCGTTAGCGAGCTGCCACAAAGAGAACCGGCACGGCGCATGGGGGGGGAGGGGGGGGGGGGGGCCGCGGGCGTGTTGAGCGTTGTGCTGCGGCCTCCTCTCGCTCGCTCACGTGGTTTCTTGGCAGGCTGGTCCAGCTGGGGCCCGAGGAACGGGCTGTTCTCCGCGTCGATCCTGCGCTTGTACTTCTGCCGGCCGCCCCGCACTCGGTCCAGACGGACGCCTGCGTGGCAAGGCACGCCAACGCAACGCCAACGCACGCCGTGAGACTAGTTGGCGCCCGAACGCGCGGCTCGACAACGAGTAAACGAAATTAAACTATTTTTTTATTTTACCAGGTTAAGGCCCACTGAGCTGCATAGCTCTCTTTTTTTCGGAAGCGACCTGGCCACAAATGACAGCTCAACGAAGTGGCTCGTCACGTGGAAATGTACAGCAGCCAAACACTCTAATCGCGCGTTTCTAAATGTGGGGGGAACAACTGGAGGATCCGGAGGAAAATCCACGCGACCAGGGGGAGACACACACGCAAACTCCAAATATACAGCAGCAGGCGTCAGGGGTCGGGATCGAGCCCACGACCTCCTGTGTACCAGGCGAGGTAGTCAGCATCTCCTAGCCACCGTGGCGTCTTCCCGACGTGCCGACCGCTACTACGACCATCATCCCTCCGTTCGTTCCCACACGCGCGCCGGGGCTCAGGGCGAGGAGCGTTCATGAGCGGAGAATGAGGCGGACGAGGAAGAGTCAACTCCGCGCTCGAAGTTGCGGGTAGATGTGACGGGTAAGGAGGACTCCCGCGGCAGGCCGTGTGGCACCGACGGACAAAAAAATTAGGGGATGTGGCTCAAGCTATTCTCGGTCGCACGAAACCACCCGGGCACAAGTTTACAAAGCCAACTTAAACTTTTCAGACAAGAGGGAGCTGAAGTGGTTTTATTCTTAAAAAAAATGTATGTCATTTCTTTGACGAACTTTTATTTTAGTTTTGTAAATTGACACCGGGTTGAGGGGGGAAGCTCTCTCCACCCACCGTCTCCGCTTCTCGCCCTGGGCCCTCTAATTTAGAGCACGGCCACCCACTCGCCCGACGCGTGTTCTCTTTTTACACGCTTTTATTTAACTCGCTGTCCTGTTGTTGTCGCCGTCGTATCCTCAAATCTTGTAACTCAATTTTTACCCACTTCCCAATGTGGTATCCACTGCAAACTTGGTATACTTATGTCATACTGATGACAATACTATATTTTATCATAAAGAAATACATTTTTTTTTAAAAAACCCATCTTTTTTACATGTTATGTTTGGGCTTGGGTCTAATTGTCCACGGTCAACTGACGTTGGCTGTAAATCACCACGGTCCCCTTACGTTATGGCAAGCTTCGGGGCCACTTCCTGAAGTCGTGGAGTTTTTCCATTACGACTACGGTACATTTCATTAAAGCGTGTTTAAAAAAAAAAGTATTTTTAAACATTACTTATTTTTAGCAAGACGAAGCCTCATTATCACAGTCACATCATCCCCACTCACCGCTGCGTCGTTCTCCGCGTCCCGGTTCACGGTCAACGCCGTAGGATTTCCAACGATCCTCCCGACTAACAAAAAACTACAACCCCATCGCGACGGCTGTGGCGACATCGTAAAATACGGGAAAATTGCGCAATCCTTTTTTTCGTTTGTGAAGTACTGCAGGAGTGGGGGGCGGCGGGGGGGGGGGGGGCATGTCTCACGGGAAACCTGCGTTTCCCGTGATGCCGGTCCTAAGCTTCTATTTTGACATTTCTGCTTTTAATTTTACTTTTCATTTAGCTAGGTGAGAACTCAAGAGGCCCGGCGGGGGGGGGGGGGGGTGAAGCCTCGTTTGCAAGAGTGACCTTGGTTGGCAGAATTAAGTAAAAAAAAATACAAAGGACCGGCAAAGCAACGAAATGTAAACGCCGGCGTCACGGGACGATTAGAAAATATCGCAAACTTAACCCAACGTGCAGTCAAAGCTGAATTATTACATTCCCCGCAGAGCACAAATCGGCTCGGGCAGAACAGCCCCAGATTGGTCCGCAACACAAGCGACAAAAACTCAGCTACGGAAAACCATAAGCATTGGGACATATATAGGGTGCCTGTAGTCACTAAAATAGCTGTCAAAAGCAATTGCAAGTGAAGCTATCGCGAGGAATCGCAAGTTTTAGCTCATGCGTAGATCAGTGTTCTTCACTGCGGGGCCGCTGGCGGCCTCTGGTGGCCTTTAGTGCGGCCCCTGACGTGCGGAGCCCCCGACAAAAACACAAATGGTGACAACAACCCCCCATCATCATCATCGTCGTGCTGCTGTCAAACCCCCAATGGTTTCAAATGTGTGGCGGCCCTTATCGGCAAAAGTGCCACGCCACACGCCCCCCGCTTCTGAAAATGAGTGAAGACCACTCGCGTAGATCATTGCTTTTGTAAAGGGCTTCTCTGGGGAGTCCACGTCTGCTTGGAGAAGGACCCTAAACTGGGCAACTTCCTTAACAGTGCCCCAGGGTGCACAGCGACCTCCAAGATGTCAATCAAGCGCGATGTCCCAAGTACGAGTCAGTCCCCTGCCTCTGGCACCGTCCTCTCTCTGCGCTGAACCAGCAACCGCACCACTGACCAATGCAGTTCTTAAACATTTCATCATCATCATCATTATGACTCAGCCATTATTAATCCACTGCTGGATGAAGGCCTTGCCACACAAGCCGTCAATCTTCCCGATCCACCCGGCACACAACTGCCCACGAGCCGGTGAGCATTTCACATTTTCCCTTTGCTCACCGCTTTCTTCGCGGAGAAGTCTTCAAACTATACCAAACACTTTTGTTTATTTTACACGGTAAGGCCCACTGAGCTACGTAGCTCGTTTTCGGAAGCGACTTGAGCTATCAACGAAGTGCCTTATATCATCACGTGGACATTTAAATAGCAGACAAACTCTAAACGCGTGATGCAGATTCGAAATGTGGAAGGTAAAACCGGAGGACCTGGGACCACGTGGAGATCGTGCAAACTCCAAATACAGTGAAACCTTGGATTGCGCAGCATAATTCGTTCCGGAAACGTGCTTGTAATCCAAAGCACTCGCATATCAAAGCGAATTTCCCCATAAGAAATAATGGAAACTCAGATGATTCGTTCCACAACCCAAAATTATTCATGTAAAAATGAGTAATACAAAATACCTTTTTATATTTTTATTATTTAAATGTAATGTAAAGTAATAAAATTTATTAATTAAATTTAATCGTCGCTGGTGTGAGAGAGACGAGAGAGAGGAGAAGAGGAGGAGGGTTATTGTGTAGGACGACTTTCACTTGCAGTACAGTTACTAAAGAACAGTCACTACACTTGGACACAAAATTTAAAAAATGCTTTACGCACACACACGTGGTCATAACACTGTAGTAAACAGTATACACGTGGTCACAACACTATAGTACTGTAGTAAACAGTATACACGTGGTCACAACACTATAGTACTGTAGTAAACAGTATACACGTGGTCACAACACTATAGTACTGTAGTAAACAAGATACGCTCGCACGGATGTTGACTATACGAGTGAGGCACGCCGACTGAGACCGAGCATGGGAGACGATTACCCACAATCCCGCAGCGAGAGAGAGAGAAGAACCATCGGCTCAGTTGTGATCACGTGACGCTCGGCAGACAAAGCGTATACGTACTGCTCGTATTGCAAGACCCTCGCTCGTTTATCAAATTAAAATGTATTTTAAAAAAGTTTGCTCGTCTTGCAAAACACTCGCAGACCAAGTTACTCGCAATGCAAGGTTTTACTGTATAGGAGGCGTTAGGATTGCGATCGAACCCACGACCTTCACCCCATTTGTGAACAACAGCCATATGAGACATTAGTACATCAAATCGGCATAATCATTGGTTCACTTGCAGCTCAAAGGCTCAATCCAGGGCCTGAGGCCAGTGGGAAGTGCGCTCAGGGGCAGAACGTGTGGGGCAGGCTCCCTCCACACTTGGCCCCGCTTTGTGAGTGAACACATAATAGCCTGTATCCGCCCTGGCCCGAGCCAGAACATTTCATCCGAATCAGGAATTTCTTGCGGCAAAAAACGGTCAAATTATTTACGGCCGCTTTATCACTTTTTATTTTTTTCCCTCCGCGTAAATCCAGTGACGGGCGCTTAAATTACGCCGGCGGAAGTAACGGCCAGCGGCTTGAACTTTTTTTTTCCTCTTCCCCGCACACCACTACCAGCCCGATCCCCCCCTCCCCCCCCCCGCCACCTCCCCCACCTCACACCTCCCCATCGGTCGCTTAAAAATCACATGCAGAGCCGCCCAACTGCAGCCACTGGGTAAGGTTTTCATGTAAAAATGTGTATGATTTACGTGACATCACGTCCGGTTTTTGCGCCCGCTCCACACCGCCTGAGTTACTGCTTCCACGAGGGATTGGAGCTGCGGTAAAAAAATCAATGAGCGCCGACCGCTGTGTTGCACGTGCGTGCTGCACGTGCGCGTTGACGTTACGGCTTTCTCAAAAACGCCGTTACGCCAAAAATGTCAGCGTTCGAAACGTCGTTCCATCCGGGCAAGCGCTCGACTTAGGATGCGGCATTCAATTGATTTTATATTTACGCAGCGGCTAAATTTAATTGCTTCTACAAGGAGAGACGATGAAAAACATCTCTCCGGACGCGTGTTCGGGTTTGTTCCGGGCTTTTAGTTCGGCGTGAAGTCCGATGTTTCGCTCCCGCGTGCCCGGAGCGATCTTCCTCCTCTTCACGTCATCGCGCCGAACAACTCGCGGCGGCACAGCCCGAGGTCCCGTCGGGGGAGCTACGCGGGGCCGAGCAAGCGCGGAATCCTACGCGAGAGGCGATAACTCCGCGGACAACAACGATGAAAAGCAGAGCACGAATTGAGGGCCGCGGAAACTGGAAGCGCGCAGGAGGAGAGATGCCCAACAACTACGTATTTATTTCATTAGACCTCCTTTGCCAGTACCAAAATGTAATAATAGGGTTTTTCCCCTTTTTTCTGCCAACAAAACTGAAACATTTTGGCGTCATCTGGTCGAGCACCAATTGGGTCGAGGCTCAAAAGAAAGCCGTCCCTTGGTGTGGACCAATCAGTTTCAAGGACAATGCATATATTATCATAGTATGTTTTTTGTTTGCAGACATGAATCCTTGTAAAAAGGTTTCAGTTTTGTTGCCAG